GTGCCTTTGACTGTTTTTAAAGTTGCGTGTTTTCACTTTTGACCTTTGAACCAAGCCTGTGAAGTGGTTGGGTTTGGCATTATTGTCCTTATCACCATGAGGAAATAGTCCCACAGAAATTGACACTTAGCTAGGATTGCAGAACTAGTCTTCAGCAGAGCCAGGTCTAGAATCCAGGAGCTTTTGGCTTCCCTTGCCAGGCACTGGCTGCCTTTGTGCTCCCCCATTTCCTGGTCAGTGATAACTAAGGCTTTTTGAAATAGCATTGTTATAAAAATGCTGCTCTGTTGAAACTTGAGAGACTTAAAACACAGTATTATAAGACTCTTTCCCCCCCTCCCCCTCACCCCAACTAGCAGTAAAGTATATTTCTCTGTCCAGCCCTTTTTAGCTCAGTAAAACAAACTGTGTCATGCTCAGAAGCCACTTACTAACATTATTTTATTTTTGTAGTATAAGTTTCCTTTCAGTTATACAGCGTCACTGCAAGAGGAGTGAGAAATCAGGCAGAGGTCAGCCTTGCTGCCTTTTCTGGTCTGGAACACTTGTAGTAAGAGGCTGTTCATTGTGAGTGCCAAAATGTTTCTTTGTAGGAACAGTTGAAAAAGAAAGCGTTGCTCTTTAAAAGATGGTTTTAGTCGTACTTGGATGGGAATCACAACCCCTCCTAAAATGCTTATATGTTCTCTCTTGCATGACTGTTGAGGTTTTTGGAAAGCCTGTTTGACAGGATTCTGAAGCCAGGTTCAGCCACTTCCCAGCTTTTGTGTGACCTTGGACATGCAATTCCAGTCTCCCTGTTTAAAAATCACTGGAATAATGCCTACCACAGAGGGTGACATGAGAATGAAATAGAGCATTATATAGCAATGCCCACACCATTTTTTATTTTATCTTAAAATTTCTGTTAGTAGTAATTTATCTTACAATCGATGGGTGCATTTAGTGTAGTAGCCTTTCCCCTGCCAAGTTAGCAATCATAATGGATAGTTTCAGATCGATAATTTGAAACTATAATCGATAGTATCAAATTGAGGAAATCACAGCATAATGAGTTTAATGCAATGTCAAGTACAATATGCATTCAATAAGTAGCTGCTATCATTTTTATTTGAGTAGAATTATGGTTCCTGTGTTAAGGCCATACCCCAATGAGGAAATGAGGTATCTGCTGCGATGTTGGTCTTTCCATGGCAGACCATGTGTGAGGCGACCGCTCTTAGGCAACAGGGGAGAGCACACCTGCTCTAAGAATGCAACATCCAGGGCGAGAGACAAGTGAAATCTGTGAGTTGAAGTCAGTGTCTACACTGATGAGAGGGAGAAATTGAACAGGGAAGGGCCTGCAAAGTAAATCTTGATTCATGCAATGATTGTCGATGGTTACTGTTGCTTTTTATCGTCTCTTGTTCTTTAAGCAGTCTTAAGAAAGTCTTAGGTTGAATCTCAGCTGAGCTGCAATGGGGTCTGGCCAGGACTCATTGTTTACTCTGGCCACAATGTTAAAGGGAGAGCCTGGCTCTGCTTAGTGGAGTGACAGTATTCTGCTGGAGCCCCTGTGGGGAATGTGGATTTTAAGAAAGGGATTAGGACATTCTGATTTGCTCATCTGCCCCTCCCTTTTTGGGAAGTTTCCTTCCAGTGGCAGACTTGGAGGTGCCAAGTTGTAATTTATTAAACAAGACAGCCTGTCCTTACAGATCTTTCTCTGCAAACACACCTGACAGGCCTATTCTCCAGTTTGACTGTCTCTAGTTTTGGTGGAGAGAAGAGTGGAGATGTGAGTCTCAGGTAGGCGGGACACAAAATGAGCTGCACTGTACCGACTCTGGTAACCTCCTCTTTTAAATACAGATTCAAAAGGTAGCATGGTGCATGGAGAAGTGTGTCTGAGAACATGGGCAAACAGGTCCTGGTGTATATGGGTGGGAGGAGAGAAAAAGAGAAAGCAAACTGTAACATTTGGGAAACCCAGACCAAGAGTCTGGGAATTCCTTTTGGTATTGCCGTAGTTTTTCTGAAAGTAGGAAACTCTTTTTGAAGAAAAAGTTAAAGGTATAGATTTGAGCGTTGTTTGTGCAAGCATGTATGTTTATGTTAGTCTCCTTCACATGCTGTTGGTAGATGAACCAATTTAGCTCGACTCCCATTGCCAGGCATTTATTCATTTTTAGTTATTAATGATTATCAATGATACTGCTTGGAGAATCTTACATACACTGTATTTTGAAGTAGTTGAAGTGGAATCCTTGTTCCCCTTTAAAACAGCCATTTTCACACTGGAATGCAGGGAAATTTGCAATAAATTATCCAGCTAACTAGGATTTTAAATGGCTAGGTGATGACTGTTGCCGAGTATCTGGGTAAGGTAAATGTCACCAATCTACAATAACTTCTAGAAAAACTTCAGTTCTCATTCATCTTATGAAGAAACCTTTCTAAAAAAAATGAATCTTCAGTGATCTGAAACATCTTGGCTGAATGTTGACTGTTAAATCAGTAAGAAGATAGAATTTTTTCAGGACTTTGAAGGTGTTACTGGAGTTTGAACTCAGGACTGACCTTGCACTTGCTAGGCATGTGCTTTACCACTTGAACCATGCCTCCAGCCCCTTTTGCTTTAGTTATTTTTTGAATAGGGTCTTGTGTTTATGCCCAGCAGGCCTGGACCTCAATTCTCCTGTTTACTCCAGGTAGCTGGAATAATAGGCACACTCAGTGACGCCAACCATTGGTTGAGATGGGATCTCAGGAACTGTTTGCACCTGCAGGCCTCCAATTGGCATCCTCCTGATCTCTGCCTCCTGAGTAGCTAGGATTACAGCCGTTGCACCCCGATAAAGGTGTAACTTTCTGACTTCAATCATTCTTTTGTAAGCAGGGGGCAAGTTTTTAAAATTTTTTTTGTCCTCATTGTACGTGCGTCACTATTTTCATTGATAGCCAGATGGTTTTGTTGGATTCACATTCTTATTCCAGCAACAGGTAGGATAAGGGAGCTGTTTGTTCAGAGTCAGTCCAATTATGTGCTCTGTTCTATTCATTAACTTTCAACTTTCTTTGTTTCTTGTTTTCCTTCCTTCCTCTTGCTCCCTTCCTCCCTCCTCCCCCTACCCCTTTTTGTTTGAAAGGCTCTTGCTGTATAGTACAAACCAGTCCTGAATTCATGATCCTCCTGCCTCAGCCTCCTGAATGCTGGGATTAGAGGCATGTACTACCACCTCGGGCCTCACCGTCAACTTCGGTCAATTTTTCCTAATGATGTATGTAAAAAATTGAAACCATAGTGTGTAATTATATTTTGCCCTCGCATGAAAACAACATTCATTTCTGTACCTAACATTTTGCTAAAACAGAGCAGTAATGTTGGGTCTAGTTTTGAGACATCCTTTAGTGGTTTTGAAAACAATGCTGAATCTGTAAGGATGAGTCTGGTGGGGACAGCAGATGTGGGAGAACACCCTTGGCTCTCTTTGGTTATACCTCTGAACTTCTGGCTGTACCTCAAAAATAACCCCCCCCCCCAGTGCCAGTAAAACCATCTCCAGAATGTTTGCATGTTTTGTGCACACACCTAGGCAGGTCAGATTGTAGTGGAAGTGTGATATGTCCTGTGGAGTTAATTACAGGACAGTGTTAATGTTGCATGCCTTTTCTTTTCATTATTCCTTCAATTGGAATGAGGGGAAATGGTAGGCGAATAAACCCTAACCAGTGCTTTATTAAGTTGCATTCTTAAATTGGAGGCGAGAATAGGAGGAAGAATTCTTTTCCTTCCATTCGGTCGTTGTGAGGTAGGCAGACTGGATTGGCCGGCGGGGAAGAGCAACACTTTTGTTCGGCAGTGCAGGAAGGGTTGGGAAAAGCCCTGGGAAACCAACACCAAGCAAAAGCTGCTATTCCATCTCTACTTCAGAAAAAATAATATTTTAGGTAGGCTGTCTGTTTCCTTTTCATTTAAAACTGTGTAGACCATAAACTGGCACTTCCTGGGCACTGTCTGTGGGGTGATGCCAGCAGCAGAGCAGCTGGCCTCTGTTTACCTGGAGACAAGGAGGAGGCATAAAAATGGTAATCTTTCCTTCAAACATCTACTAATCCTTGTCCCTTAAGTTCTCACCCTGGGAATACTGTACAGCGCGTGTATGTATATGTGACAGTGCTAATAGAAGTGGAACAGGAGACATTTTTAACTTTAAAATGAAGTGGCAGGTTATAATTTTAAAAAACAATAATGAAAAACTACTTTGACTGTACTTTGGCCTCCTGCGTGTAGACTCACGCAGGAGTGTTTGGGTGATCACATTGTTCATGGTCATTGAACATGACAGATGTTGGAGGTAGCTGACTGTGTCATCTGCTTTAATCTCTTTTTGCCTTCAGTTTTGTAATCTGTTATTCCCCTAGATGTACCCATATATTACCACTTCCTTCTCTCCCTTTCTGGTCCTTCCCCAGGCTGATCAAGGTGTCCTCTCACTGCTACCTGCACCTCCACCTCCTGAAGAGTTGGGATTACAGGCATAGGCATCCATGCCAGATTCCTATCCTCTGTCTTTCTTCCCCCAGGGCCTCAGGCACATTAGGCAAGTGGTCTACTGAGCTATGTGCTATGTGCTAGCTTCCACGCACTGTTTCTTTAACATACATGTTTTCCATTGGTAACTTTAAAAAATTTTTTTTGTGGTACTGAAGTTTGAACTCAGGGTCTCAACGCTTGCTAGGCGGGCAAACACTGTACTACTTTGAGCCACTCCTCCAGCCCCCATTGGTAACTTTTGATCCAAGATTTGCAAGTAGTCTGCTGAGGTCTTCAGTTTGCCATTTCCTCGTGTTTCTTGCAACACTAAGTCAGGTGAATATTGTTGGTTTTACTCACCCAGATTGTAAAGTTGCTAGTGGTCAGCTTCTAAAAGGCAGGAATTGAGCCTACCTGTGCATCTACCATTTTCATCACTCCTAGCTGTTGTTTTTCTAACTAATCTCCTTTTCACTTTCAGCAGACCTACACCAATGAAGTTCACTGTGTTGAAGAGATTCTCAAGGTGAGTCCATTGTTGTTATCATTTGAAGAAAGAGGGAGGCAAGCAGACATGTGTCTATGGATTTTCCTTTTTGATGGGCATTTGCCATTCCCAACCCTCTTTGGACAGGTTTTTTTCTTCCAAATACCTCCAACACCAAAATAAACCAGAACAGTAACAAAAGGAAACTCAGCATGTTATTTAATTCTGTAACAGATTTTATTGATCAAAATGATGTTTACAAACCATAAGGCATTTGGACCAGAGTTTTAATAGCGCCTGAAGTTTTTCTGGTTGTACGTGAAGACCCAGGAGTGCTGCTTACTTCCCATAGAGGAAAGTCCCGTACTGACATAGCATGGTACAGGGGTTATGTTGCCCTGATCATAGTCCTTGGTGTTTAGTAGGCAATACCTAGTATATATGGCCTCTTCTTCAGGAAGTCTGACATTTTAAAAGACAAAAAGAAAAAGTGGGAAGGAAATAGATATCTCAGACTTACCCTAAAGGGTCCCTGCCCAATAGTTTATTGACACTGTTCTGTGATCATTTGCTCTTCTTCTATAAATAAACCATTGAGTCCATTATCTGCTTGTTCAGCTTTTCTTGCACTAGGATGACAAGTTCCTTCTAGATTTCAATTCTAGGAAAAAATTTCTCCCTTTGAATTGACATGTTTTTAATCAGAGAGGAATTACAGAAACTGTCATGTTACCCGTCTTGGCTTTAATTTCTAGGAAATCTAGAGCTTACTTTTAATGCTTAAGTATAGTAATTGTAACAACTGAGGGTTTTGTGTATTTCTCATCTTACCTGTTTTATAATTTTATTTATGTCAGTTTTAGTGATATTCTTGCTGTCTTATTGTAAAGTTTCTGATTCTTTGAAATTTTATTTATTTATCTCTATGCTGAGGTTTGAATTCAGGGCCTTGGGCTTGATAGGCAGGTGCTCCACTTGAGCCAATTTACGTAGAAGACAGATACATGACATGTACCTCTACTGCTCATTTTTCATCATAAGTAATGTTAATGTCTGTAGACAACTAAAAAACATAGTGGTTACCATTTCACTTCAAAAAAAATTTGACAAAGGTAATATTTAACTGGGTTTTTGGAAAACACTAACATTATTTATCATTTTGGTGGTACCAGGGTTTGAACTCAGGGCCTCATGCTTGCTAGGCAAGTACTCTTACGCTTGCCACTCAGCCAGACCTTTTTTGTGATGGCTTTTTTCGAGATAGGGTCTTGCAAAGTATTTGCCCGGGGCTGGCTTTGAACTTTGATTCTCCTGATCTGTGCCTCCTGAGTAGCATGGCTTCAATCACTGTTGATTTACATCCTCTTGCTTCTTTCATAGTTAGGATTTTCTGAGAAAGCATACTTTGAACTGCAAAAAAGATGATAAATTTTTTGGTAGTCTGCAAGTAAGAATAAGAAACAAATTACCTTGATTAGGTTTTTGTATCATCCTTTCCCTCTCCTGTTTCTGAAATTCTTCAGTATAGTGAGTCAGAAAAGTAGTAAATGACTTAGTTATAAATTATGGTCTTAGCATTTTCTCTGAAATTGTGTGTGATTTGTTCTATACTGACTTCAAAAGCAGCTGTAATAATAAAGATTTGGTGTCTGCCGGTTTAAATGCTTCTCTTAGGTTTTAATGTATGTTAACACAAGACATTTCACAAGCTTTCTTTAGGAATGATGGCATTATAACATCAGACAAGCTTTTTTTTTTTTTTTTTTTAACTTAATTGACTCATGCATCCTCCCACCCCACTCAGCCAGTATCACTTTAATGAGTGAAATTCTGGAGAGTTGTTTATGCAAGCAAATGGTGTGTGTTTCACAAACTGGGACAGCCTGCCCAAGACAGAAGAGGAATGGGCCCATCAAGAAAAGACTGGGAGTCTGTCCTTTCTTCTGTTTGTAACCTCACTTAAGTCCTATGTTCCAGACAGTGTTCTCTGCCTCAAGGTTCCTGATCTGATCTTGTACTAGCAATTATTAAGATCAGGAGGAATCTAAACACAGATCTTCCTAATAGGAGGTTAACAGACAGTTCCCTACCTGTGACAAACCAGTGATAGTCAACGAGTTATGGTGATTTGGTTCTCTGGGGGCAATGTGTAGGGTGGAAGGATTCTAATGAAGGGGAAGTGATGGCCTGTTAGTCCTATAGCCTGCTGATAGGACAGGATAAGCAGATAGCAGACAGATTGCTAGCAACCAGAAAATGACCATGTACTGGGGACCAGAAGGGGTACCGTGCCCTCAGCAAGCAATATGGGAATCTAGAGTTTCCTACTAATAGTGGCACAGCCTCCAGTGCCTGCTCGGGAGCAAATGCAGTGTAAGTAGGCAGTGCCTCAGTGCCACATTCCAGTGATGCTAGTACAATGAGTAGTGGCCTTATTGTTTGTTTGTTCATTCATTTACTCAGCAAATACCCATTAAGTCTCTAGATACTTTTCTAGGCACTGGGAAAACCAGTGAGGATTCCAGAGTCCTTGCTGTCATGGAGATTATGATGGAAAAGATAAACTTACAATGTAGTAATAGGGACTGTGAACAGTGTGACAGACCAGTGAACAAAGGAGGAGGCAGAGGGAAGAGCTGGTGAGAAACCTCGAGGTGGAAAAAAGTTGTGTAGAGGAACAGCTAGAACTAGATGGTGTGTCTAGAGGGAAATGAGCATGGAGGAGAGAGACTACAGCTGTTGGGCTCAGAAGGGCAGGAGTGAGGCAGGTGCCACATGATTTGGCTCTGCCCATGTGGTGAGTCATTGTTAAGAGGGAGCAAAACTATGGCCTCCTGACCACCTGGACAGCCTCCTCTCCTTAGTAATGGCTCCATCCTCCTACTGCCTAAGTCCCTCTACAGGCATGTAGGGAAGTATATAAATCGTTTCAGACTACCAAGGAAACACTTAGGATCTGAAAGAATTCATGCACTTTCCAACTGCCAGATTTAATAGCTGGGATAGCCTTAGGCATTGAGAATATTGATAGATGTTGTTTGGCAATAATTGGTGACTAAAAGTCAGATATACTAGCATAACAAAGACATTCTTGGAGAATATAAGAGTGCTGTTTTCAAGCACCACATTTCTTATTACATGTGTTTAAAATGGTAACATTTCACTGGTTCTCTACCTTAAAGTGTTGTCAAAGAAATAAAACAGCAGGGAGGCTCTCTTTGGTAGAGTATTGGAATTCTTTGGGAAGTAGAGTTTTAGTTGGAAGTTGCAGTGCTGGCAGCACACTCCCGTAATCCCCGTACTCAGGAAGCAGAGGCAGGATGATAGCAAGTTTGAGGTCAGCCTGAGCTGCATAGCAAGACCCTGTCTGAAAAAGTAGGGGAAAAAACTGTAACTTTTCCATTTAGTGCTTTCTGTACACTACACATTCAAGCACTTAAACTGCCTGACAGTTCTTTGAGAATGTAGACTCAGAGCTGAGGCTGTCCTGCTAATCCAAGTCAGAGTTAGGACCCAGTGGGGTCTCTGGTTCTTAGACCAGTTACTCTTTCCAATATTTAGTGTGGAACTCCTGTTGCATATTAAATGAAGTGTGTGATTTCATTTTTAATAGAACTTCCTTCAAAGCCAGCATCACTTATGCTGCTGGTCACTGGGCAGGGCCCTTTTGGTCTGTCCTGGGGATGTAGGCACCTGTGTAGTGACAGTGGGGAAGGTGGGTTGGAAGTGGAAGCACTTGATTGATCCAGCACCAGCTCCAGCTGTTAGGCAGATCAGATGGCATTTCTGTGGAGGTGGAGAAGAAGTTAGCCAGCACTTTGAAAAGAACAGGAGTGTGTGGTACAGGGAAAGTGTACTCACCAGCTTGCTGGTGGAGTTAGTTGCCTTTCCATCGTTAAAGCCAGTTTGCCATGAAGGTGTGACCCATGCTGCCGGGGATTTCTGTCTCTGACACTGGGAAGACGGAGGGCTTGTAACTTGTGTGCTACTCAGCTTTCAGTCTCAGCAGGACCATGACCAGTGATTTTGGATCTCACTTTTCTTGTCTGGAAAATGTTGGCGTTTCTCCAGCCACAGAATGGATCTCTAGTGTTGTGTTACCTCTTTCAAGGAGAGTGTGTGTCTTTGCTATTAGACATGTCCACTATCTAACATGTCTGTTTTGAACAAAGCAAACTAAAATTTCTGAATGTGCTTAGGACAAAAGAATTCACGTCAAGATAAGTGTATCAATTTTTGCATTTTAGAAATCTCGCTTTCAACAAGAAAATAATGAGCAAAAATTAAACTTAATGGAAAAGGAAGCTAATTTTGTTACGACCCCCTCCTACAGAAGTTCTTATGTGCTAATAGTGTGTATCAGAGAAGGGTCAAAGCCATTAAAACTCTCCAAGTGGAACAAGGTGGCCTAAATTCCTTGTTTGCCTAAGTCAAACAGGAAGGTGGTTCTTCTTTGAACTTGAGTAATTCCAGGAAGTGCAGTAAAGAAGCTGAGGGAGGAGGAAGGCATCTCTGGAGAGGCTCCTGGCTGCCCGCTCCAAGTGCTCTCTGTCCCCAGGCTCTGCCAGTGCTGGTTACTGTGCTCATGGGTTGTGAACTCTAGTGTGGAGTTCATTTTCTTTCTATATTCTTGTTTGTTCTTCCAGCTCATTTTTAAAAAAAGTTTTATAAGTTGGAGATAGTTAGCTTTTAAACATAGACCGTTCATGTAGGAGGTCTTTAAAAATTTTTTTTAATAAGTAATAACTTTTAAGACTAATTTTCCATTTATCATCAATCCACTCTACATTAAGGTCAAAAAACTAACATAACTAACAATGAATGTTCTATTTGTAATTTACTTTTTCTTCCTTTTCCAAATCTCTTTCCAGGAAATGACCCACTCATGGCCTCCTCCTCTGACAGCAATACACACGCCTAGTACAGCTGAGCCATCCAAATTTCCTTTCCCCACAAAGGTAACTTTTCAAATACAATAAGCACAGCAATGACCTTAGTGAAAGGTAGGAGGTATTGCTCTGAGCCAAGTTGATGAAGTATTAGTGGTTGAAATCTTTGCAGCTTGTTAAAATCATGGTGTAGCATATACAGTACTTCATAATGCTTTGATATTTATTCTCCAACTCATGCTAGTAACATCTCAGATTGTATAGGGTTTATAGCTTATAAAAATGTTCAGGTTTTCCCAGTATATTCTCTCATCTGAGGGTTGTCCCTTAGGAAATCAGAAAACAGAGATACTGGGAAATTAAGAATGGTAAAATGTCTGATTTCTGTACACACACACCCCACCTGTCTCATCCTCCCTAAATTTTCTCAAGTTTGGTATGATCAGCAACATTAGTTCTGGTTTTCATAACAAGCTGAGAAGCTGCTGACTCATGTGTTTTTACTACAGTGTTGTGAACAATGTATTAAATACAGGTCCGTTTTCTTTTTTTGGCCTATACTTTTGAATAACATTCAGGATTAGCACTTTTAGATCTGGAGTGCACATGTATTTATAACTATTCCTTTCTATGATACTGTTTTCAAAAAAATTATATGTATATAAACCCAATTTTCTGTGAGTTAGATATTTTGCCTTCTTTATAATGATAAAGGGCTGGAGGCATAGCTCAAGTGGTAGAGTGCCTGCCTATAAGTGCAAAGCCCTGAGTTCAAACCCCAGTACCACAAAAAAAAGTATGTTCTCTCTCTCTCTCTCTCTCCTTCCTTCTCTCCCTCCCTCTCCCTTTCTCTCTCTCTCTCTCCCTCTCCCCTTCTCTCTCCCCCCTCCCCGTCTCTTCCCGTGTCTCTCTCTCTCTCTCTCTCTTTTGCGCGTGCGTGCAGCACACACACACACATCTATGTATATATATGTGAATGATACTTTTGTAAAAAGTTGATTCATTTGGAATAAAGCAGTGGTGAAAGCCATCTTATGTAAAAATCAGATTAGCGTTTATGCATCAAACAAATGACAATTAAATAGATGAATAGCTGTAAGCTAGTCATACAGCAAAATACTGTAGACTCCATGTGGTGAGTAGTATGAGTGGTGGTCTCGCCACTGTTTCCATTTTTCTGTATATTTGAAAGTTTATAGACTTATCTTTTAAATAATAAAAACTGTATAGTTTTCCCCTTAGGTAAACTTTAATGTTTTAATAACTAGAGTTTTTTTTTCCCCTAGGATTCTCAGCACGTCTATTCTGCAACCCAAAACCAAAGTAAGTAAAAATATCTGGAGCTTTTTATTGGGTTGGAGAGCAAAGCATAATTTTTACTGATTTAATATAAAAACATTAGTAACAAATGCCCCAGCAGAGATGAGGCTTTCTTATGTTGAAAAAAATAGCACAAAGAGTTCTTTAGGTACAATTTCAGATTATTGCAGAGTTAAGAAAAAGTTTTAGTAAAGTACTGAACAAATATAATTTGGTATTGCCTGACACAATAATTATCTTGATTGTGACTCTCAAGGTATTCTAACCCAGGAATTGATATAAGAATAGGCCACAGTAGCCAGGCATGGTGGTGCACACCTGTAATCTCAGCACTTGGGAGGCAGAGACAGGAGGATCTTGAGTTCCAGGCTAGCCTAGGGTACACAGCAAGGAGACCCTATCTCAAAAAAAAAAAAAATTGCATTTTATGTGATTCTTCTATTTTTAAAACAAAGCTGAGAGAGCTTTATAAGACACATAGCACTCAGCTTCTCCAGATGTGGAGACATATCTATTGACCATGCAGTTCTTTTTTGGTCCCTTTTTATAGATTGTAAATATTTGAGAACTCAGAGGGCAATAGAAGCAAGCAAATTGGGTCTGGGTTTTCTCCTCAACAAGAACCCTTCAAGTAATAAATGGTTTTGGGTGTATCCTGACTATATGTGAGGCATGTCAAGTGTCACAAATATATTAGAATACTTGGTAATTATTTAGCTCATCAGAAAATATAAGCAGAGGAAGATACTTGCAAAGGTGAAAATAGCCTGCAGTGTATTTTGTAAATCAAGTTTTTTGGCCATACTCAAGCCTGTTTATTTGTATGTAAGACATAGCATACAAAACCAAAAATACTCTACTTACTATTGCACCCTTATAGACAAGGTTCTCTGCTCCTTGCTCTAGAGCTATTGGATAAAATCTTGCAAAGAACTCAGAACTAAATTTCTCCCAAACACAGAACAAACCTGACTGCATTGTCACAGTATTGTGAATATGTCAAAGGAAAATTGATGAAATTGATGGCTGAGTGTAGAGATGGGGAAATCTTTTTTTCTCAACATTTTGGTAGCAGTTCAAGGAGAGATGACCCTTGGAGTGGTACAAGTATAAAGGTGGCCTCTGCCAGCTTTACTTTGAATTGACAGGGTTACTTCATGCCTGTTTAGCTCTTGTTTCCTCATCTCCTCTGTCTGCTGTCTGCTTCCTCTGGGTTACTCTTGGTTGGGATTGCGAGCTATTGCTTTACAAGGAAAGAACCTTAACCTATTAAACTGTGGATGGAAGAAGACAGACTCGTAGCACTTTCTTGGTGGGAGATGGACAACCCTCCAGGCCTGTGCAGTAGTGCAGGCCAGTTCCTCTGTGGGGAAGTTGTCAGAGGACGCTAGTGGGATTCCTGTAGGGCTCACCAGCTGCTTGTCCCAGGTCTTCCACCAGGCTGTATCTTTGTCTCTTGGGGAGTGAGCATTCAGTGAAGGATGAGTGGGTTTTGCATTTCTCAAAGTGTGCCCAGCAAGTGAGTTGTCATTTCTCTGCTGCTCATGCAGCCCTGGTACATGGATTTTAGAGTCTGGAGAAGGGAAGTATAGCGATGTAAATGTGCACCCCACTTTAACATGTGCACTTGCAAAATACGGGCTGCCTGAGGATGTGGAGAATCTGTGAAATTCAGAGCCCAGGCAATGTGACTGTGTGGAAGTCCCTGTAAATGACCAGAAGAGTGACTTCTGCCCCTCTAAATTGTAGTCCTGGTTCTAGCTGTCTAGACAGAAGGGAAGGCAACTTGCAAATATCATAGAAGAGCTGCTGCCACCATGAGGATACAGAGAATAATTGCAGATTTGCAAGGGTCTCCATATGATGTTTGTGGGCAGAATCCCCCCAGCCCAAAAGGTACCCATATTTCTTTCCCACTAGGTTCTGCTTCTGGTCCTCATGACCTCATGTCTAGACACATGTGCCCGGCTGCCTCCCAACTGCTGTGTCGCCTGCACAGTTAACATTTCCTGCTCCCTTCTGCATTTTACCGGGTAGCATCTCAAGATTAACCTTCAAGAAGCACCACTGTGTCTTGTCCCTGTTTAGCTCATTCCATGCTGGATTCACCTGGATCTGACTCCACTGTCTCCCAGTGCTGCTCACCCTGCATCCACACCCAGCCTTACCCTTTCTAATCCTGGATGTTCTGAAGCCCTCCCTGCTTTGCCCTCCCTGCATCATTCTGTCAGAATCCCACCTACCCTCTGTGATAGGATATGTTATATCCTTTCTCTACTTTGTCTGCTTTAGCCATTACCAAAAGAGTGGCCTTTCTTTGAATTCCCAGGGCAATAAATTTGTGTAATTGGCCTGTGTACTTACTGCACAGTGCCAAGGGTTATAGATATTTTGAGCTGGTTTCATTGTCTCTCAGTTGACTGTCAGCACAGTGAGGACTGGGCTGGATACCTTGCACACATGGGTTTCTACTAGGCAGTGTGTACATAGACACTGAGTAAATGATTTGGTCATGGGGCTTGAGTAATGGAGGGACAGGTGGGGTGGAGAGCACAAGGACTGAGGCTGTAGAAATGGAGCCCTTGTCAGTCACTGACAGACATGAGAGCCAAACCAGGTGGGGGTTACTAAATCAGTCCTGTTATAGTGCTTCCATGTGAACCATCAAGGCCACACTTTGGAAAGTTCCTGGCAACACAGAAGGGCACGCTTTGAGTTCTGCTTTCAGAGTGTCTTTGGTCTGTTAAGAGTTCTGGGTTTCTGAACAAGCCTTTTTTCCAAGTACCACAAATGTCATCTTAAAATGGTGAGGTCTTATCGAATCCACTGGCAGCTCTCTGGCTGACAAAATTTATGCTAAGTATTTAGGGAAAAGGGTAAGTGACAGCAAGGGGACTTACAACTGATGATCTCATAAATGTGTGTCATTATGCTGCTCTGACAGTGTCTCCTTCCCCACAGAACAATACGATGCGCCTCCAAAAACCCACTCTAGTTCTCAGCAAGGAACATCGTAAGTAAAATGCTGTCCATGACTAGAAGCTTATGTGACGTTGAAATTTCCCATGTAAATCCATTGCTTAGATTTTTTTTTTCCTGCTTTCAAGCAATGACATTCATAAAATACTGGCACATTGTAAAGGGAGGAAATGACCCACAATTATATCAGGATCGAGTTCCCTATTGAAGGTTTATTCACCATGAGGGAGAATGCTAAGGGGTTTTCTGGAAAGGAAGGTTTTGAGCTATTATTTACATGTTAACAGCGGGAAATAGAGGGCTTTGGCTTTTAAATTTTCAGTCTTAAGTAGCTTTAGCTTTTGAAAATAAACAGGGGATTACACAAGCTAAGATTGTCTGCCATTTTTCTGGCCTCGTTCTATTAACAAGGAGGTAGCCCTATTGTCTACCCTTCATTATTAAGACCAAGCAGGTCCAGACAGATTTTGGGTTTTGGGAACCTTTTAGACTTCATATTAAAGCATTTTGACCCAATTTATTTCTTGAAAGTATTGAACTACTATTTCTTTACTTTCCTACCTAACTGAGGAGGCCTTCCTTTCCCTCAGCTTCTGACCAGTCATTACCACACTGAGTTGTTAGACAGGATTTCAGGTGGTTCTGGAGTTCAGGCTCCAGTTTCTTCTATTTTTAAGCACAATATTTGTTCCATATGTTTTGGAAGGTGGACTTTGCTGTGGGTTAGTTTAAAAACTGTATAGTTGAGCTAAAGAAGTTACTATCTTCTTGAGATGGCCCAGTGTGGGACTGGGTTAGATCCTTGTTCCCAGGTGACAGCATCTTGATGGAATTTTTTTATTTCACCACAGCAAAATGAACAAAAAAGAGCAATGCAGTGAGATTTTATTTTTTTAATAAAGATAAATTTATTGTTTGGTGGATTTTTGGCTTGTGGGTAGAAAGTATTTTATCTGTGGTTTGTGGTACTGGTAGATGAGTTTTTGTTTTTAATATTCTTGGAAAAAAAATGTAACATTGTCTGTTACTCCTTTCCTTTTTCTTTTTCACCATTTTTTTGTGGTACTGGAGATCAACCTGAGGCTTTGTACACGCATTTCACCCCGGAGCTACACAGATACCATCTCCAGCCTTCACCTTTTCTTTCTGAGAATGTTACTAGCTCTTAAATGCTGGCAATTTATTATTGCTGGTACCATTTAAGAAAGGAGAAGATTATTAAGTACTGACAACTGGTAGGGATAGAAGCAACAGACCTAGGGGTCACTGCTGTGAGTATCTGTAAGGCTGCCCAAGCTTTTACACCCAGTGCTGCTTTTTTTAATTAAAAAAATTTCTTGGTAGTACTGAGGGTTGAACTCAGGACTACATGCTTGCTAGGCAGGCACTTTGCCTCCTGAGCCACACCTCTAGCCCTTTTTCTTTTGGTTATTTTTGAGATAGGGTCTCACTTTTTGCCTAGGCCAGTCTGAACCACGATCCTCCTATTTATGTTTCCTGCTATCACTGTATGGCAGGCATGTGCCACCATGCCCAGCTTTTCCCCTTTGAGATGGGGTCTTGTGAACTGTTTGCCCTGTTTGCCCTGAAATCATGATCCTCCCAATCTCAGCCTTCCAAGTAGCTGGGATTTCAGATTTGAGCCAGTGCCTGGCTCCCAGTGCTCCTTTATAAAAGTTGGTAGTCAAGCACTATATACTGCAAAAGGCCCTGCTATTATCTTGGAGGCTGCCAGGAAGGGGAAGTTGAAGCCTGGGGATCCCACTTGGCTGTCAGAACAGAGGGGAGGAGTAGGAGTGATGGTTCATGCCTATAATCCCAGCTACTCAGGAGGCAGACATTGAGAGAATCAATGTTTGAGGCCAACCCAGGCCTCAACAAATAAGCTGTGTGTGGTGGTACACATCTCTAATCCTAGCTATGAGGAGGCCATAGGTGCGAGGACCACCGTGCAGGTCATCCTGGGCAAAGACCTGAGACCCTACCTGAAAACTAAAACAAAACAAAAAAAGCTGGAGGTATAGCTCAAGTGGTAGAATATCTGCCTAGCAAGTATGAGGCCCTGAGTTCAAACTTGAGTACTACCAAAAAATAAATAAATAAATAAATAAATAAAAAGAAGTGGGGAGGAGAGTAGGTGGAGCTGTACTAAGGGAAAGAAGTGTGTCCCTGGGCCGGTGGGTGAAAGAGGAAAGGCCATAGCCTAAGTCAGACACACACACACACACACACACACACTCTCTCTCTCTCTCTCTCTCTCTCATTCTCTCTCTTTCTCTCCTTCCATTTCCATCAGCCTTCAGCTCACTAGGGACCCTTCCTGTATTGGCTCCTTCTCAGTGAGATGGGCAAGCCAGCTAGTAACTACATTAAGCCTTTGAAATCAGAGGTGCCTAAAGTTGACAACAAATATACTTGTATCTCATGACATGTAGCGTTTTCTTTATAAAAATAGTAATTAGCAATATAACATTACCTAGGAGAGAGAATTTGTGATGATACTGAGACTAGGGAAGGTTGAAGGTAGGAACTGGTGGAGGTGAGGAGGAGAGCAGAGGTAATATAAAAAATATTACTGATGCTGTGCAGATTGTGAGGATGGGATTGGTGGTTGTTTGGGGTATGGATTGGTGGGTATTGGTAAGTGACAAAATGTACCTTGAGAGGAAAGAAAGTACTTTTATGAACTTATTTTTAATGGAGGTTGGATGAAAGTGGCATCCCAATTAATTTGTAAAGTGCACTCATCGTTTCAGGTTTAGTACAGCAGATCTTTTAGTGCTGGTGGGTTAATTTGAACCCATGTCAGCATTTGGGTTCTTTGCTGCACGGTTAAGCTTGTTTGTGCGGCAGGTAGCATGCCAGGGAGATAACATAACGCACTTGGCATACCTAAAAAATTGTTAATTACTGGCTCATTTATACTTTGGTTCAAAAACCAATCTAGGTCTTGTCTGTTTTCTTTCAAAGTCACTAATGCATAAAAATAAAAAAGGGAAGCTAGTTTGTGAAAAGGAAGTCACTCCCCTAGGACTTCAGAGACAGGTAGAATGTATCAAGCCCCCCTAAGGTAGCCCCTCTCTCATCCTTTAGGCTCCAAATCACCTCTAAGAGACCTCTGCTGACCTCCTCCTGGAAGCATCATCCCACCCAAGCCCCCTTTCTCCCCACCTGTCACTGTATCAGCTTGTTCTACATCAGTGCACTTGTGTGTAGTTACAAATGTGGAAGACTACCTTGTTGACCACTGTTTCCCTTAGTTCCCAAAGCAGCCACCTGTGTTCCATAATTGCTCCCTGAATGGAGGCACCTACTGGGAATATCCCCAAGTCACCCAGAGCGAAGGCCAGAGAATAATATTCATCTGTTTATTTTGGGTCAAAATGCAGCACATGAATGAAAACTCATTTATTTAACACCTATTACATAACAGGCACCTGACATGTTTCTTCTCCTCTGTTTTATTTGACCACTGGTCTAAGATCAAGTATGGTAGTAAATATATTACCCTAAAGGAGAGCTCCTGAGTGCCTTGAGTGATGTCTGCAGCACTCCAGGCAGAATAGCTCTAAGGTGAATGCACTGAAGGAGAGGAACATACTCTCAAAAACTACTTTAATTATTTAAAGTTTGCCTCTTTCATAGGCTCATCAGAATATCCCTTCAACTTATATACTGTATACAATGTCAAGTCACATACTATCATACAAGCATTTTGAATACTGCTTGCTAGACTTAGAATACTAATCCCAGAGTTAGACTGACTATTGCAGAGACAAATCCCATGAAGTAAATCATAGTTCCTTGGTGCAGATGAGGGAACAAGGTGATTCTACACTGGAGATTCCAGGATTTTCTAGATGTTGGTTTAATGTATCCTGTGACTAATTCTGAACCGAACAGGCTTTTGAACACTGCCTATATTGGTTCCATTTGTTTGCACTTAAGAACGGAAATTCTTCAACACTCAATCCTACAAATTTGTCTTTCTCCTTGGCCTGACTAACATTATGGTAGATAAAGCCGCCTTCATAATTTGAAATCTCCCATCATCTCTTACAAGCTGTTTTGCAGTCCTTATTTCTGACATCTATCAAAAAATCAGGTGTGGTGGTGTACATGTGTAATCTCAGCACTCAGGAAGCTGAGACAGGAGGATACTGAGTTCCAGGCCAACCTGGGCTACAATAGCAAGATCCTGTCTCCAGGAGGAAAAAAAAATGTGATAGAATTTAAACTTTGGGGAATTACAACTGTGCTTTGGATAGCAGCCTTCCTGTACTCTCATTACTCATCTCTCCCTAAGTCAGTTTCCAGTTTGGGAGACTGTGTAACTGTATACATTATTGGATGCTCATTAGTGGTTTCTGAAAAGTATTAGTTTTCTAACCATTTTAAGTACACCTAATACCATGGTCATGACTTATTAATTACAACTGACTACTCTGAGCTTGCCTTCCTTTGCTCTTCCTCAAATGAAATGATTGTAAGAACTATTAAGCCAAGATTTTTTTTTGTTTGTTTAGTTAAATACTTTTTGGGTTCTGAATTGAGACATTACAGAACATTGACAGTGAAAACTTCCGGTGAGCCTGGTAGTGAGAAATGGAAAAGAAAGAAAGCCTTGTCCCTGTGTGTTTCACGCAGTAACAGTCAGACTGACTCACAGAGCAGGCCTGCTGGAACCTGTGCCCAGCTCCCAGCCCGGCTGGCTTAGCAGCTGCCTGGAAAATGCGTTTGCAAGAGAGCTTGGAAGATGGCTTGTAACCTTTCAGTGAAAAGTTTACCTCACCAGTAATGTCTAACGTGGTTAAACCTACGGGGTAGCTTAAAGAGTCACTTTACCTGAGCAGCTTCGCTGCTTTTGAACTGAGCCAAAGATAGGCCAAAATGGGCTTTGTGCTTCCAAATACTTGCCTCGGTTTGGAGTTTGGAAGTGAAATTAGGTATTTGAACACTTAATGTATGTAAGGTTTAAAGTCAGTTTATTTTTCTTAAGAGGAAATAGCATATCTATTTTATCCCCACAGGAAGGATAGTTATTGTTTTATTTTAAACCAAGCTCTTTCTCTTGGTAGGAACTTATCTTTAATTCTGTAGTCAAGCTTTCTGACCACTGTGCCTTATATTATCCATAGCAAGGGGGTCTCACATCAGATGGAATGGGTTCAGCATCCTGACTTCAGCATGTGCCAGCTTCTGACCCCAGGCCTAAGAGGAGATGGTCACAGCCACAGGCAGGGCTGTGAGAGTAGGCAGTCCCTGTCGAGGTCTGGTCACGCAGTGGGCACAGCCATGAGGAAGAGTTACTTCTCAGCCAGCGTTTTAGGTCTGCCAAGTTCTAGACTGGAGAATATAAAGCTGAAGTGACTTGATCCTGCCTCATCCTGCCCCAGGAGAACCTGAGGTTGCCATGGATGAGGCCCAGCCCTGGGGCCTTCTGTTCCCTCACCTAGGTTTTATCGGCGCAAAGGTCATAGGGTCTAAGAGATTTTGATCCTCACTTAGTAGGTGCAGAGGTGCTCGCTCAGTTGTGCTCTGATTCTTCCCCTCATCCTTCTTGCTCAAAGACAAGTCCTTCACTGATAGTGTGTGCTCAGACTCAAACATAACTGCTTGTGGAACAAGAAGAAAACTTCAATAGCTGATTCCTTTACAAGTGTTCCTTAGCTCTAAAAACTCTTCATCAGTGACTAAGTTCTGTTTCCCTCAACCACATAGATTCTGTTTTGCAAAATTATAATGGTATTCATGTTAAGCAAAATTTGGTTATGATTTTTAAGTAGGTTTTTTTTTTTTTAAGCTGTAGCTGTGGTCCATGTTTCTTATTAAAAGTGTTACAATATTTCTTCTGACCTCTCTCACTCCCTAGTAGCATGCTGGTTTATCTTGAGTCACCCATCTCTGGTGATGTTATAGTCTGGTTTCTGGAAGGTTTTGTGGTTACTGTTGGGGAGGTCAGTAGACACAGACAATACACCTATGTCTGCTAGTTAGGTGAAATACTTGATGTGTAAACCCAAAAACATCCTACAAAAGTGATAACCCTTTTCATTTAACCCTACTGGTTTGTCATTTCTTTTTGTGTTTCTTTGTAGATAAATCTGTAAGCTCCCTTCACAGAGCACAGTCCCTACTCCTTATGTCTCAAACAGCCTTTTATACCTGCAGGCTTATTATATTATTGTCTACAGAATTCTCTGAAGGAAAAATTTCCAGAATCTGTGAAAGCATTATTCTCAGAGAGCAAGAGGAGCCAAAATTCAGAACTTGCTCTTAGATACTTTGCTTTACTAAGGAAGGTATATTCCTAGAAGTTAGGTGGTATTCAGTAGGTAGGAGAAAAAGTTAAGGGTGTTTTAGTCCTCTGCTTCTGGTGGGAAGTGTGGTTGAGATTATATGGTCATTGATGTCACAGAAAATTAAGGCAAATCAGTTTTATACAAAACAAACCTAGTGACTAAGAATCAAAGAGGTTGATTTACGTAGTTTTGTTGTTTGTGGTTTATATTGAATGCACTTTGGCAGATTTTTTTTTTTTTTGGATTCTATTATACCTTATATTTTTTTCCCAAAGATTTGCTTTTATTTTTTGCTGATGTGTTTCCCAGCCAAGCCATTGTCTAGCAGCAAACCTGTTGAGTGACATTTTCTTCAAAACTATTATGATTGCTAACTGCCAAGTTTGTGACTGAAGGCTCTATTTTGGTCTTGCTAAAATATGAATTTAATTTCTATTTGATAAATATTGAGTAAGATCTACATTGCAAGTAGCTAACAGTTTTCATTTTATTTAGAAAAGTATCACAGGATGTTTTTACTTCATTTGTTGATGAAATAGTTCCTTGGCAGAATTACCACATTGTATGTAGGCGGTCATTTATGAAAGAGCCAAGTTTTATCACTTATTTTTATTAGAAAATGTAGTGATTTTTTTAAACAAGATTCCCAAAATAACCATGCCTGCTTGCTTCAGTGGTAGGTAATTGCAGTAAGAATTGTTGGTCACATTATTGAAGGAGTATTTTTAAGTGTACTGATTGATTTTAAGCTTCAAATGTAATTTGCTTTTTGGGGCATCAGTAAGAATCAAGCAGATTTTTTTTTTAAATTTCAATTTTACTTGTAACATTTCCTCAAATAGTCAAGCTTATAAAATTGGGAGGAAGTGGGAGGGAGCAACTAGTGATTCACTCCTGTGATATTTGGGCATCTCCACGGAAAAAGCTTTGGGTTGAGGGGAGGAGTTAAAACGTGAGAAAACCTGTACAGGTTGGGAAAGGTTTGATTTTAATAATAAGATTCCCCATAAGCCAGCATGCCTAAAAATAAGTTATAGTGTAAGTTTGAGGAAGTGAGTTGTTTTCTTTTTTTTTAACCAGCATGATAGCAGTAAGTTGGAAAAATACTTTCTTGACAGCAGTTTCATTTGTATTGCAAGCCTTTCTGTTGATTAGTGCTCAAGCAGACAAAAAGGAATAATTTTTTGCATGTGATAAATGGAGCTCAATATTAATAATGTCCTTTGGACAAACATGGAAGCTAACTGGTAATAGTTGCCCTGATAATTTCTCTACTTAGTATTTATCTATTTGTAACACTTTTTATATACTTAACACTGTGCTTTCACAAGTACTCATTCAACTTATTAATTCATGTCATAGTTAATGGGTTATCCTAGTTCAGTTAGAGACTATGGGAGAAAATAATTTGAGCGTATTTTATATACGTTTGCTTTTTCTTCTTTCTTCCTTTTGTTTTTCTCTTCCAGGTCATTTGTCTTGTTCGTGTGGACCCTGTCCTCACTGATTAGGGGCGGAGGGCTGGCAACAAGTGCTGGTCTGCAGTAGTTCTGCTGCAGTGTATAGCACATGTTAAAGATTGAGTTTTGAGATGCTAAGTGGCTGGGATTGAACTGATTTTTCTGTTAAGATTATAAAAATTGAATTTCCAGGAAAAGAAAGCATTTATTAACTAAAAGAAAACTTATTCCTGTCCCTCTTTTGTATCATTAGGCATATTTCCTATTTATGTGCTAAAAAAGTTATTAGACGTTATCTCAAATTCTCCACTGTCTTTCCCTGTCCCATTCCAGCATGCTCGAAGATGACCTTCAGCTCAGCGATAGCGAGGACAGTGACAGTGAACAGGTAAGTGTTGTACACTGATGATACCAAGAATCCTTTGAAATATGTCTAACACACCTGAGCTGCTTGTCCTAACTTGTTTTTTATTCTTCCCTGGTCCCTCCTCCCTTTTCTGTGAATGCCTAGACTCCAGAGAAGCCTCCTTCCTCATCTGCACCTCCAAGGTACTGTCTGCAGGTTTCTCAAGCCTTACCTTAATACCTTCAAAGTTTCCTCAAGGGGAAGAAAATGGAGGATCACAGTTAAAGGGATGTGCCAGTTTAATACTGTGGGAACTTAAATCAGCTCTAGGGAATTTGAAATTAATCATATAACAGTAGAAGGGTCCCCATAGCCACCTGCGTCATCAGTTTGGATCTTAAAATTTTTTGAGTTGGGTGTGGTGGTGCACACCTGTAATCCTAGCACTTAGGAGGCTAAGGCAGGAGGATCATAAGTTCAAGGCCAGCCTGGGCTAACATTAAGCATTTTTTTTCGAAAAGTTAAAAATAAGCTTAAAACACACTTTACAAGCAGTATTGTATAACCAGTATTTGAAAAGTTAGACTGAAGAGCACAGTACTTTCATGAAAGTGATAGTCACTGCTTTCAAAATTTATAATAGTGCACTTTTTTCAGTGTCCCTATTTTCTTAGTTATCCATGTTTTCAAATTGTTTCAGCTGCTGTAAAAATGACCTGTACTACATTTTAATGGGATGAAAAAGTTGCATTGTTTTTGCTTTCTAAACAAGCCAACCATCTTTTAGGAAATGTGATGCTTTAGTTTTTGGAAATGGGGACTATTTTTACAGTGTTTTCTTCTGGTACTGAACATAATGGCTTGAGATGACAAATACCATGAAAGCATGGACAAAGAGTCACATGCTCATCATTCAGCTCAGTGACAACCCTTGGCTAATGTAGAAATGGTATATTGGTGGTTGAAGAGTTCATGGAATTATACAGTCTTACAGATTCTTAAGGTTTGCTTGGTTACTTACATATAGTTTTGTTAGAATTTCTAGTGGGTCATGCATACCCGTAAAAAAGTAGAGGAAAAGCAAAAGAAAAGCTGAAGGGCAGGCCTAAGTTCGAATCAGGAATTCCATCAAAGTGTGCCCTTGTGCTGTCACTGGCTTACACACTTGCACTGCCCTATGGACAGGATGGCAACGCTGGGCCAGCACAGTACATAAAGATGGGTAGTGATACAGTGTGTTTGTTTTAGAATCTCCTCAATTAGTGCTTTTATTTATTATCAGTTAACATTTTTATTCTAATATATGTTAATTAATAAGAATTTATTTTGAAAATACTGCAGATAGATTTGGAAGCCTTCAGATTATAGTTGATGACTTACTGCTTTCAGTAGTGCCACCTAGGGCCTAGTTTGAAGACTGTATGAGAATGAAACTCTGTGTCTAGTAGAGATCAGTGTATCTTCCCACTGACTTAGAGTTATTGGCCTGTTGTAAAAGTTTGGAGTAATCTGTAGCCACTCATAAAAACTGGCCATCCTGTAATTCCACCAAGAAGTGTGAGTGGATTGTTTTTGAACTTACCCTCCAGAGAGGACTGTCTGTCCTCCAAGGTGTCTGGTTACCAGATGGTAAGTTCTCATATAGGGAGATTTTCACTTCCTAGTTTTTCTTTTCTTAAAGAGCCAGAGAGTAAGTATTTTACTCTTCGGGCCTATAAGTCTCTGTTGCAACCCCGTAGTTCTGCTGTTGTGGCACGAATGCAGCCACAGACAGCCCATCCAGGCCTTGGTTTATCAGGCAGCCCAGCATCTGATTAGACTTCATGTAGCTTGACATATTCTTCAGGAGTGAAAGGCCACAGGCTTCCCTTAATGCAGTTATCTGGTGAGCTCTTTGAAGGTCTTGTCATTGTTTCTTAAGCCACTGTCAGCTTCTCTCTCAACTGGACAATCAGGCCACAAGGGCCTTCCTTTCTAGAAGCAAGAGAATGCACAGGGGGAGAGAGGGAAGAGACCCACCTTGCGTGGTCTTCTAATTTTGTCTTGCTTTGCAGTGCTCCGCAGTCTCTTCCAGAGCCAGTGGCATCAGCGCATTCCAGTAGCACAGAGTCAGAAAGCACCAGTGACTCAGACAGCTCCTCGGACTCGGAGAGTGAGACCAGTTCAAGTGACAGCGAGGAGAACGAGCCCCTAGAAACCCCGGCTCCGGAGGTACTGTGTCCCCTCAAGAAGGCCATTCAAGGTGGTAGCATGCTGTCTTTTGGGGCTGGAGGCTGCCTTGCAGGCAGCACTGACCCTGAAGCAGAATGGTCAGCCCCACAGGGGCTGCTTTCCTGCTCGTGTGCCCTGCAGAGCCATCTGGTTCTGTTTACTTCCTGCTCACCAAAGACTGGAAGGTGGTGATTTGGGAGAGACATCTCTCCCCTGGTTAAAATGACAGGCTCTTCTTTGTCGTTGCCAGTGTTGGTTTTAAGAACAAACAGCTGGTTAAGAATGTTTGCACACCATTTTCCCCTCCCTTCTTTTGAAAAAGAAAACTTGTTTTTGGTAGGCTTCTGTTTTGGTATTAATGAAAATTTTTCTTAAAATTTTAGGAATGCATGAATTAGGGAACGCAAAAGGAGACTGGCTGCCTGATAGAACAGAGGGCAGGAACGTGAGCTAGAAATAAGTCACTAGAAGTTCTAATTTTGAATCACTAAAAGCTGTGCATTTACTTGATGGCAGAGTGATTTTTGTCAGGACTCCGATTCTTGCTCCCTTCTGTCCCATATAGAACAGTGATAACTGCTTGCTTGGCACCCCACTCCCCCTTAAGACACTAAGATGTCCCCAGCTGATGAAACTGAAAATTAAGTTCTGAATTTGGAGAACATATGCTATGTACCAGATGGTTGAGCACAAGAAGTTGTTAGTAACAACTAGAAAGGTTTCCACACACCCTCAGCACTTGGGCAGCAGTATAAAATTCTGCTTGGGAAGGATGATAGTGAAAAAGGAAGACATTCCTGTTTTATTTTTGGTGAATGAGACCAGTCCATGTAGAGAAAACTCCCTGCAGAGTTTAGATGAGAGCATCAGGAAATGAAGCTTTCCGATTAGGAAAGCAGTAGAGTTTTCTGTATTCATCTCTCCTGTCTAGAAAGTGTGGTTCCACTAGAGCATTAACTAAAGACATCTGGAGATCATGGAGTAAAATGCTAGGCTTGTCTCAGGCAGGGGACCGAGAAAATCAGTTCCACTTTTTGTTAGATATAGATCTATGTCAGATACCGAATAAATGTTTAGTATTTTTTTGAGTGCATTTTCATAGGTTGGCATTGACTGCACATAAAGTGCCTTTCAGATTTAGAAAGAGTTCTCGTGTTCCTGGGGCTCTTTGTTTCGGTGTGATACTAATTGCTATGGAAATAAGTTTTTTTTTTTTATGTCTCAAGGAAAAGGATGCTGAATATACTACTCACTGTTAATAAGATCTTTGCTTTATGTTTCATCTTCAATAAGAAAAAATCTACATGCTTGTAAGATTATTGATAGAAAAAGATCATTCAGTTAAATAATAAAATTCAACTTGGCAAGCACTAGTTACACTATAATTCTAGCTACTTGGGAGGCTGTATTGGGAGGATTGAGGGTTGAGGTTGGCCCAGGCAATAGTTTGTGAGACTCACATCTCCTAAATAACCAGAGCAAAATGGACTGGAGATGTGGCTCAAGTGGTAGAGTGCCTGCTTGACGCCCTGACTTCAAAACCCCTACCCCCCCAAAAAAAAAATATATATATATATACACACACACATGCACACATATATAATAAAATTTAAAAGTTCTATTTATATATAACAAAATGGTATAGATTTGATTGAACAACTGAAACTTGAAAAAAATTAATCTGTTTATAGTGATGAGATTCATATCTCATTGATCAAGAACTTACTAGAATGCAGCTCCGTGTGGTGGTATATATGCCTGTAATCTTAGCACTCTGGAGGCTGAGGCAAGAAGATGGAGAATTCAAGGCCAGGCTAGGGTACAGAGTGAGACTGACTCAGGAAAAAGTAGTTACTGGAATAGGTAGAAACTTTGTAGGTGTCAAATAAATACTCCCATCCCACTCTAATTTTTAAAAATCACCTTACCAAAAAGGCTTCTGTTTGTATCTCAGAATGAATGTGCAAATTCACGATTGTGGAGGTTTATATGTTAGGAATATTTTCTTAGTTTACCTTTAATTTTCCCTAAGGTATTTATCTACTTTTCTTTTCAAATGAATACTTGCATTATTGTAAATCTCTTCTTTTAAAAGGGTAATAAGAATTCCACAATTAGCCATAGATACTAGTTTTAACTTTCTCACCCAGTTCTATTTTTTATGCTGAGACGCTTGCTTTTTATGGCTCATTTTAACTCTTTTTATTTGATGGAACGAATGATCACAGCTTAAGATTTGGAACATTACATACCTGCCACCGGGCTGCCAGTGGACTTGGGAACTAGCCGGTGCAGATTCTATTTCAGTATCTTTGTAATGGGAGTCAGAATGTAAATCTTAGCTTTTCAAAATAAGTGGGGCACATTGCCACTCTGCTACTTACAAGTAAGGGCGGAAAACACGATTCTGTTGTAGGTTGCTCAAGAATCTGTTCAGCTGTCTCCTGCTCACGGCCCAGGGTTTTGGTGCTAAATTACTTTGTGTTGATTGTCTCTTGGGCTGCTCTCTTTTTATAGATTTTTTTTTTTGAGTGGGATGGGATTTGAACTCAGGACTTCACACTTGCAAAGCAGGTGCTTTACCTCTGAGCCACACCTCCAGTCCTTTCAGAGCTTTTAAATAAATTGTTTAATTTGTTTTTGCTTGCAAAGAAGTAGTAGCACTAATATTGAGAGCTTAGCCATTTAACTTTAAAATTTGATTTCCCCCCAGCACTCCTGTTTTTCCTGCTAGCTGTACCTATACTTAATGTAAGACAGTTAGTTGAGCACCATGAATCACATAATCAGGAAGAGATCTAATTTTTAACTTTCTTATCCTCTTTCAATTTTTTTTTGGGGGGGGTGGCACTGGGGTTTGAACTCAGGGCCTACACTTTGAGCCACTCCACCGGCCCTTTTTTGGTGATGGGTTTTTTCAAGATAGGGTCTCACAGATTGTTTGCCTAGGCTGGCTTCAAACTATAATCTTCCTGATCTGGAGTAGCTAGGATTACAGGCATGAGCCACCAGCGCCTGGCAATTTGTTTTATTTTTAATTCTTTTTCTTTTTAAATTTTACACATATTTCTCACAACTGTGAAATTTTATTTAAAAAGTAAATTTATATTGTGCATAACCCAAACTTCTTATTTAGAACATAATTCGTCCTAAAACAAATTAACTTCTGCCAGCTTAACAGGCTAGGAGAAGTAAAGGTGCATGTGGCCAAACATTTATCAAAACACTTAAAAATAATTATATACTTTTTTCTTCCTAATCTGCAGTATGGGGGTTATACCAGCACCAAGAGCACAGAATGGGGGGCGGGGAGGAGAGACAAAACAGGGCAGAGGGAAAAATGAAAGCCAACCCTGATCCTATCTGGCACACACTCAATTAAAAATTATTTTATAGTCTATTTGTAATGCAGACATCACCCCCTCCACCCCACACCCCCAGTCTCAATACCCAAACAATATCTGACCTTAAAGGGATTCTATCATTTTACAACTTTGTTAGGTTTACAGAAAGGATTACCCCTATACTTTTTCCTTGTCTGCACCCTTACTCTGTTTCATCCTGAAATTGGGCCATATGCCTCCCTTCTGGACATTTAGGACTGTAGTTGAAGCAAGTGTGTTATTTTTGTAACCAGGACATTGCTTTAGGGAGTACTAAACGGATCTCAATATTGTCCTCTTTTGGGGGCAGGGTGAGCAGATGTGACACACCAGGAATGACGACTTTCCCTTTGGGTTCAAACATGAATACTCTCAAGGAGCTTGTCATGATTGGGCTGCAGCTATAAACATAGCTGGTGGGTGAGAGGACAGATGGGAAGGGTTTGGTTCCTGACATGCTTGGCAGTGCAGTATCTTTTGGATCAGTTCACCCCTTGTGGCACCTCACCCTTGAGTCTTTGTAGGAAATCAAGGTTGACAAGTAGATACCATGCTAATCTTTTCCCTTAACAGTCACCTTGCCCTGTTGGAATACTGAATACGGATTGAGAGTTACATTTGACAAAATACCTGGCACCTAATAGAGGTTTTCCTCTCTTTCTTCCTTCCTTGAAATTCAAATAAGACCTTTGATATAGAATTGATGTAAGTGTAGGAAACAATAAAGGAGATGTGTTGTCATAAGCAGTATTGTGGGGTAAGCAGACAAGGAGGAATTCGGCAGCCATCTTTCTGTCCAAAGTATCATCCTGCCTGGTTTCTTAAAATTACTTTTAGTTCTATTCTATTACAAACTAAGCCAAAACTACTTATCCAGTTCTTTTATATCTAACATTTCCTTTACTAAAAAGCCTTTATAGCATATATTTTACTTTATTAGGTTTGTTTATTCTTATAGAGTTGACTTATTTGGTGTATTTTACTTGGGAAAGTTGTCACCAATCTTCACCTTAAAGTACCTTCCATCTTGGGGCTGGGTTTGTGCCTCAGTGGTAGAGTGCTTTCCTGGCTTGCACAAGGCCCTGGGTTTGATCCCCAGCAAGGCAAAACAAAACCCTGCATCTCTTAGACTGTTCTCCTTATCCATAATCTAATCAATTAAATTTCATGTGGAATATCTACTAGTGAACTGCGTAGTGCTTTGTGTGTGTGACTTAGTCATTCATACCTGGGGAGTGGATTTTCTTAAGAAAATCATGTAGCAAGGCTGAGATATATGACCCTTCTAAAATGAATAGTCATCGCTCACTCTATCAGATACTGGTATTTTTCCATATGATATAAAATTCATAGGCAAAGGAATGCTCAGATATCTCACTGGTTGGGACTTGGAGATAAAAGAGTCTCTGTTACTCTGTTAATATCTAATAGCCTACTTGGAAAGACAAGGTTTGACTCACAGTTACGATAACATAGAACTTGGCATGGTGGTAGTATGGTGGTGTTCACCTGTGATCCCAGCTACTTGAAAGGTTGAGGCACGAGGATCACAAGTTCATGGCTAAGCTGGCCAACTTACTGAGATTTTGTCTAAATTAAAAAAAATTTAAGACTTGCCTAGCATGTGTGAGGCCCTGGGTTCAATCCCTGTTTAGCACCCCCCCAATAACCTCCCCCCCAAAAAAAAAAAAGAAAAGAAAAGATGACTTAGGAACTTCTGATTTTTCAAATGGGTTATACAGGTAATCATTATAACTCATTATTCTTAACTGTGTGTGCCAGAACCTCCTTTTGTGTCTTAGAAACGTGTTATTTCAGGCCAGATTGCCTGTAACAAGAGACCTAAGTGTCTGACTTAAAGAATCAAAGAGGTACTTATGCTTGACTAATGTTACTTCACTTGGCTCTTTCTCAAGGTGTAAAATTTGAAAATCAGTATATAACTGTGAACCACTGATAACTTTGTCACATCATGTTTTAAAATAAGAGAAATCAAATCAAGTCTTGAAGAAAAGCCTTTTTCTGTTGAAAAGTGTGCCCAAGAAGGGATAAAACATGCCACCCATGGGTAATCACTAATGCTTAGTTCATGGGTAAGCTGCCTGAAAAGCCTTGACAGACGGATTCTTCTTATTTCTTGTTCACCTTATTTTTCAGTAGAGTTCTAATTACTATTAGAACAAAAGGTTTATATTACAAAGATTTCTTAGCTCTCAGTGACCTATTATTAGTCAGTATCTGTTAAAAAATTGGCAAGTCACACAAATATTGAAAATTGTTGTACATGTAGAATCTGACTTGCAAGTTGAGAAGGGTGAAACAGAATCTAAGTTCTTATGTTTGGAATAATTGCCTGTACTAACAGTCCAGTATATTGGATGGCTAATAAGAAAGAGTGGTTTATCATCATTGGTTAGTTAACACATTTTCCTATTTCCTTATTTTCAGCCTGAGCCTCCAACAACAAACAAATGGCAGCTGGACAACTGGTTGACCAAAGTCAGCCAGCCTGCAGTGCCCCTGGAGGGCCTGGGGAGCACAGAGTCCCCCTGCCAGCGCCAGGAAAGTAAGGGTGGCAGCGATAGCAGCACCACAGGTCAGGAGCATTCTGAATCCAAAGATCCTCCCCCGAAGAGCTCCAGCAAAGCCCCCCGGGTCCCCTCCGAAGGCCCCCACCCTGGGAAGAGGAGCTGTCAGAAGTCCCCTGCACAGCAGGAGCCTCCACCTAGGCAAACTGTTGGAACCAAACAACCCAAAAAGCCCATCAAGACCTCTGCCCAGGTGGATTCGAGGGCCAACCTGCAGGTGGAAAGTGAGCCAGGACTTCTTTCCTATGGCTCAAAAGACCACACTTCCAAAGACAAGCCCAAGGTGAAAACGAAAGGGAGGCCCCGTGCTGGGGGCAGCAGGGAGCCCAAGCCCACCGCACCCACCCCCAGTGAGAAGAAGCAGCACAAGAGCTCCCCACCAGCCCCCTCCAAGGTGCTCTCAGGCCCAGTACCCACGAAAGACAATGTGGGGGCCAGGAGCCCAGAGCACTTTGCTCTCGTCCCCTTGACTCAGAGTCAGGGCCCATCCCATGGTGGTGGCAGTAGCAGTGGCAGCAGGACTAGTGGCTGCCGACAAGCAGTGGTGGTCCAGGAGGATGGCCGCAAAGACAGACTCCCGTTGCCTTTGAGAGACACCAAGTTGCTCTCACCACTCAGGGACACCCCTCCCCCACAAAGCCTGGTGGTGAAGATAACCCTAGACCTGCTCACTCGGATCCCCCAGCAGCCAGGGAAGGGGAGCCGTCCAAAGAAAGCCGAAGATAAACAGTCGCCTGCAGGGAAGAAGCATGAATCTGAGAAGAGAAACTCAGACAGCTCCAACAAGTTGGCTAAAAAGAGAAAGGTGAGTGCTGGAGGCTGGCCTCCTACAGCAGAACAGCTTTGGGTGAGGGATCTGTGACTGGAAATCTTGGCTTTGATGAGATGTACTTCCTGCTTCAGTGAGGGTTCTTCTTTGCCTGCCCATTTTTGCTTTCCATTTTGCAGGCGATCATATATGTCAAGTCTCTTCATAGGTCATTGAAAAGGGTAGCTTCTTTTAGCATCAGGTAGCATTTTAAGGGTGCATTTTTATTCGCATGCACTGATATTTACCACTTGCACTGTTGTCCTAGAAATGGAGATACAACATGAACTGAAATGCTAGTTACTATTCTGAATGACTGAAAGAACTGCTATATACAATTTCTTTTTTTATTTTTATTTATCATCTTATTCTACTGGGAGTACATTGTGACATATACAAAAGTTCTCACAACATATTGTATTTGAATTCACCCCTCCATCATTCTCATTTACCCCTCCCCCAAATTTTAATTACATTCTGAGTTTTTTAATGTCAATATTACATCCATTTTTCAACTCAAGGCCACACAATACCTTTTTTGAGCTATTGAATGTACAGTGAGAATATATTGAGTAATACAAGCTGATGGGTATGTTGTAAAGAACTGCTTATCTGTCATTTATTATGATTTTTGGAAGTCTCATTTAAGGAATGAATGTGTTGGGGGGTGTCCTACATTATTTAAGACCTTCTCTTACCTGGACATACTACTGTTTTGGACAATGTCCTTCTTTCCTTTATTCTAAATCATGGAGCTCTGGGTCTATTTTTTTCTTTGAGATAATGAAAGTTTAGTGTTTCCTTCAGGGACATTCCCAAGCCACCTTGCCCAAGATCTCAAGACAAAGGCATGAGAAGGGCCAACTCTCTCTTGCTGAGAGGGAATAAAATTTTTAATGCTGTCCTACGTACATAAAATATGACTTACTCAGCTGTGGAAGTTGAGCTAAGAATAACAGAGGAAAACGATCGTGAAGTCTGCTGTCATGTCTGAGGCCCAGCTGATTAATTCACTAGGTTAAAAATATAACATGACTACCAAACTGCAAAGGGTGACTGTTTTCTCCAGAACCTAGCCAGCTTGTGTTGCTACCACGTCTGTAGCAGGCAGGTTGAATGGGGCGGGTCAGGTGCTCACTGGTGCGGTTGTTCACATGGAGGAAGACAGGTTTTCATAAAAACCTGTCTTTTTCATAAAGTTCTGTGTGTGTCACATACAGAACTTTATGGAGGAAATTTTGGGACCTACTTAAGAAAAATGTGCCTGCCCTTAATGTCTCTGAGAAAACTTCAAGAATTTTCTTATTGTCCCCCTCCAGAGAAGTCTTCTGTCGCCTCTGCCTCTTGTGGTCTTGGATGATCTCCAGTGCTAACTTTCTACATTCACTAGAGAGGGGACAAGTATTTGCTTCCAAAATGCCAACTTACCAGGTGGAAATGTTAGAAATTGGAGGACGCCCCACTCAGAGCCTTTTAGCCTAGCCATGTCCGCCCCCCAAACCTCCTCCCCCTTGCACATTTTGCTTGCAGCACCAGAAAGAGAAGCTTGTAGCTGTTCCTCTTGGCTGTAAGACCTGTGCCCTCTGGAAGCCATTCCCAGGCCTTGGCTGAGCTCCTTGAGGGCAGCTCATTTATCTTTCTGTTTAGTGTGCAGAGAAGTAATCTTAATTGGGTGCATGAGTTCTTTAAAATTCTGGCAAGCAGCTAAGAGATCTGGCCCAGAGCAGTCAGCCTCTCAGAGGTACTGACAGGTTGAGATCTGACCCATTGGTTCTAAACCTGATTCCCTTATAGTCACCTGGGGAGACATTAGCCCTGATGGCAGGGTGCCCTCCCCACCCCCACTACCACATTTCTTTCTGAATTCTGAAGATAATCCTAAAGCCAGCAGGGCTGAAACCACTGGAGGAGAGCCTTACTATAGGGACCTAGGCTATGCAAAGCTACTTCTTCAGATGGGGAAATCTTTAGGTGTGCTGAGTGCCACCAGCTCAGGTCTACGTAGCCTGGAATTCCTTGCCTGGACTATGTCGTTAGTTAGCAACTGCCTTAGAAGGGTTTCAGGTAAATAAGTATAAAGATCAGTCTACCGTGTGCTTATTTCTGAGCAAGGAATCATTTGTCCTTAGGAGTGTTTTCCTGCTGGATTCCAGGTGGGAGGTATTACTGTTTACATATAACATATTACTAATTTCCAGTCCTCTGTGTCTGTACCCTGACCGTGCAGGGCTTCCTAACTCCAGCCCTTTGACCAGAGCAGCAGTGAGGAGCATGGAATGTGGGCCTGGCCACTATGGCAGAGGGAGGATCAACCCATTTTTAAGCTTGGGAACTTTCCCCTAGATTCCATTTGTGAAGGCTGTCTTCATTTTCAGTTCAAACAGTGTAGAAAAAGCTCTGAAGATCTCGTCAGAGCCACTGAAGAATGTGCCTGACCCCTCCAGCAGTGGGATACTGTTTCTAATTAAAGGCCCTGTAGTGCCTGTCCCTCTACTGGTATGAAATCTAGCAAATATTTTCAGAGGTTTCACAGGATCTTAAAGCCATTTTAGCCTCAACCATGTGTGAGAACGGCCATAAAGAGTTAGTGGTAGAGCTGCAGTTCAAGTGGTAGAACACTTGCCTAGCCTGCTGGGTGCATCCCCAGCCCTGCAAATTCAACAAACAAAAGCATTAATAGCCGTTGTGATGCCATCCAGTGTGGCATCTACTACTTTGAAGGAAAGAGTAGGCAGGCATTCTACCATTTGATCCCCATTTCCAGCCCCTTGCCCTTGTTCTTACTGTGTGTCTTTTTCTTACTGAACCTCATTAGAGGGAATCGCCTGAATTTCCCAAAGTATTATCTGCTCCTTGCCTTTTCCTGTACTTTATGCACTACAAAGCTCATCTGCTTCCCCTTCCCCTGAGGCTTTTTTGGTGGTTATTTTGGTGGCTCTGGGGTTTGAACTCATGGCCTCACACTTACTAGGCAGGTGCTCTACCACTTGAGCCACGCCTCCAGGTCTTCCTTTGCTTCCCTTTGGGAGACTGTCACAGAGTCTCAGACCTTTAGTGCTAAAAGAGCCTTGGCAGTCCCTGTTCAGCCACCACCTCCTATAGAGGAGAAGGCACTGGCATCATTTAAAGCTGGCCTGGAGTTCGGAATGTACCTCCTCTCAGTCAGTCAGTCCAGTGTTCTTTTTCACACATTTTCTTGCATATGAGTGTCTGCTGGAGCGATTTCTTGAGAGGGTCATAGGTCAGAGTTCAGTATCAATGTAGTGACTCTGATTACAACTAATGGTGCAGTGACAATGTCCTTCCTTCCTCAGTCCCTCTGTCATGCCAACACTGCCACCTTGATGCCCACACATTCCTTCATCTCAGAATCTCTTTCAGGCACTCCTTCCCCATCACAGCCAAGCTTTTGGTATCTTTCCATCAATTAAAAACCTTGTGGCTCCAAGTTAACATCAGTTCTGGAAAAAGCTGCCTTAGTTTTTCCCTGCTACCTACAGGTACCTACATGATGAGCTAGGTGATGTGGCAGGCACCGGGCCACCCTGAAGGCATGGTGACACCAGCATGACCCCATCTCTTCCTTTTATGGTCTTCCTTCTTGCCTTTTTGCTTTGCTCTGTGGAGTGGTTCTTGGCAGATCCCCTAAGGCTCCCAGACCCAGCCCCTTGAGAAAAGCAGACTGGTCCTGTTGGGACCCAGTTGGTAGTAGGTAGCCTCCATTGTCATAGGTGCAGGCAACATCAAGAGCTTTTCCTTGTGGGAAAGGAATTTCTGAGTCCCAAATCTTTGGCTGGATTCTCCAAAATGGCGGTGACTTGGGATTAAACCACAGAGCAAAGGGATTTCTTTTTTTCTTCCTGAAGAGAGTACTTTGCCCTTAATGTGATTTTCATGTGGTTTTTTGACCCAGAGAAACCTAAAGAGCACCTTGCTCCTGTTGTTAGCAAGTCTTGTTCTTGGAACTCAAGTTTCAATTCCATGGACCCCAAGCTATGTTCCTCAGCCAGTAGGCATAATTTCTGTGCCAGCTGACGAACTCTGAGTACTGCTCTGGGGAAGCCTCTGACTATTCCTGACAGAAGAGGACAAGGTTCCAAGAACACAGTGCAGGAAGAAACGCCTCAGGCCTGACAGAATCCAGAAGAGGCTTGACTTTATTTAGTTTAATGTCTTCTTTCTGCTAGTCATAGAGTACTTTCTGCTTCTGATGTGTTAAATAGCAATATACACCTGATGATTCCTGTAGATTGTAAATACTGGCATTGTTAAATGTTCACATTGGCATTGGGGTCTGGTGATTTCTTGTTTGTTGGCTCTTTCCTCAAGTTCATGATTGGCACAAACCAGAGTTCTTACCCGCTGTAGGGATTGCCTCACTTGTAGATCTTATTTTCATACGTGGTTTATAAAGTCTGCTGCTTTGGTTTACGGTTATATAACTAGCATGTCCCAAGCAATATAAAAATATATAAACAAAAATGAACTCTCATTTCACCTGTGGACTTTGGTATTTTCTTGAAGAAGTAATTTCGTTCGTGGTTTATGTTTGGGTCCTGCCTTGGTGACTTCTGGTTGTCTTTAACTGCCTAGAAGTGCCTTCTATTTAAAAATGTGTTCTTCCATCTCATATGCAAGTTAACATCTGTCCAGATATTTTAGTAAATGCTGACTTTTCCTAAAGGTCAGTTTCCCATCTCCTTGCAATGTGTGCTGTGCCAGCTGAGCAGTCTCTAACGCTTAAGAGAATTCCCTGGGTCCTGTAGTGGCAGGGTGCCTGGGCACAGGTAGGTACCTAATTGATAAGCGGTTTCCATGCCTGCACAGGGTTCTGTTTTAACTTTCCACCAGGGTTTACTGTCTCTCAAGTGCTGCCACAATGACTTGTTGAGTAGAGCCTTGTGTCCCAGCTGCTTCTCCTGCTTGTGCCAGTGCCTTTACTTCTGAAGTCCAAGATTCTGTTGTGGCCTGTGCTCCCAAGCCCAGCTCTGTGGCTCTTCCTGGGGCATTTTAATCCTTCCTTACCTCACATACTGTCCATCTCCTGATCAGGCTCTTCAAGGGACATTTCTCTTAGTCATCCCTAGTATTTGGCTCCATCTCTGAGTATCTGACTTGTTTTTGTCTTGTTCATGCTGTGTATATAATTACTTCTTTGCATTGGCTAATTGGAGATTCAGAGCCCAATTTGCAGATCACCTTTAGCGAGTGTCCAGTAGAAATGGGAAATAGTAACAGTTTGAATAACATTTAATCCTTAATATCTCTTAAGCATTTAATCAATATTAAATCATTACATTCCTCCTTTTTTTGCACTCAGTCTTCAGAGTCACTCCTCATTGCAGATTAGCCATGTTCAAGTTCAGGTGCTCCCTAGACACGCAGCCGTGCCTGCCTAGTGGGAGTGTGCTAGTGCGTGCTGAGAGCCTTCCATGGGCTTTAATTCCTCTTCTCCACTGTTTCCCTTTCCAAATACTCTCTCTCCTGCATGTGCCACAAGATTAAATGCTAGTATCTTTGGGAGCCACCCTGGATGAATCTGTTTTGAAGCAAAATAGTACATAAGTGAACGGTAAGGCTTTTCTAGACTATGTAAGGCTGGGTGGAAGCACGCCCTTAGGCACTTGTGTTTGCAGGGGTCCAGAAGGAGGAAGGGATTGGTTTTTTCCTGTTTCCTATTCTTTTGAACAAGGCAGGCTGTGTGAGCAGTCCTGAGCCTACACATCTTACTTTATTCGTTTTTCTTGGAGAAATTCAGGAAAGAGAAAGATGCAGTGGTTAAACACTGGGACCACCTACTGTCAGTTAATTTGATGAACGTTTTATCTTTTATGTCTTAGGTGAATCTAGGGTTTGTTGGGGATTGTCCTAGATTGACTGGTGTGTCCCAGATTCCTAAGGTGGTAAACTCACAGCTGGAGACTCCATCCTCACTGCACAGGAGAGTGAGTTGAAGGACTCCACTCAGCACTTCATTGCCGCTTACCAGAGAGGATGTGCAGTGCCTTCTTGTGCCAGACCAGGCATGAGGAGGCCACCGTGAAATCTCTGTGTTTGAGTGCCATAAAGAGCCCATGACAGTGACAAGAGAACACAGGAAAGGCTTTTACCATGAAGACTACTTTGTTCTTTTAATGATTAAATATACTTTATTTAGCACTTGAGAAATGGGTGCTTTTGGGTTCCCTAAATCCTATAGTTAGATATGCTTTCACTCTCTCAGAAACAGTATTCCTAAAAACTTACTTCTCCTTGGGGGAAAATATATTTCTCATGGGGGAAGAAAGAAAGACAATATTGGGGGAAAAATTAGACAACGAGGGGAAAAAGCCAGAATCCCAATCTGTTTTTATTTTATGGTGTATGTTTGCAGTTGTTTCTTTTTCAATGGTACCCTTATTTTCCATTAGAAGTAAGCTTTTAAGTATTCTACTCTGAATGATACATATGAAATAAATTAGTGGCCATAAGTGGATAGTTCTTTTGAAAGAAATTGGGAGAACCGCCTAAAATCATCCCTGTGTTACTTGAGGTGAATATGCATGGTGTTTTGTTTTGCTTTTGTTTTTTGAGACAGGGTCTTGTTCAGGGTGACCTCAAATGTTCTGCCTCAGCTTCCCAAGTATAAGGATTATAGGGATGCACCACCATATCTGGCTAATATAGCATATTTCATTGATTTTGTTCTTTTTTTCCCCCGCCTTTGGTACTAGGGCCTCACACATGCTAACTGTTGACTCTTTAATATTTAGAAAATATAAATGATATGTTGAAGTGTACTATTCTTGTTGTCAGCTATTAATTTACATATGATCCCTTTCCTAGGTATGAGGAATAGTCTTTCATTTTTTGGTTTTTTTGGGGGATACTGGGGTTTGAACTCAGGTCTTTGTGCTTGCTAGGCAGGTGCCTTGCCACTTGAGCCTCTCTACCAGCCTGAGGAATAGTCTATTGTTATACAAAATCTGTCTCAATACAAACCATAAGAAATTTAGACTATCCATCACCTTCCCACTACACATAAGCTCTAAGTGCTGATTAAGTCACTGTGTGTGCATGCAGGTCTCCAAAAGTTGCATTCTCTCTTTGTCCTGTCTGTAGTTTCATTCCTGTTTTGTCTGTGCGATTGGTTGTAACACTGTGCTTTGCTTTACAACAATAGAGTGAAGTGGAGAGAGATGATAACAAGAAAATCAGATTGGAGAAAGAAGCCAAATCACAGTCATCTTCATCTTCATCCTCCCACAAAGAGTCTTCTAAAACAAAGTGAGTATAGCAGTTGGGAACAGGAAGAAAGGTGAGCAGGTCTTGTTGGGTCTTGCAGTAGGATCAGTGACTTATTGAACTAACTCATCCTGGCTCATGTTGATGACATTCCTGCCTCCTGTGGCTCTCATCCGTGAAGACCTTGTAGGAATTGACATTTCCTTTGGCAGCAAACTTAAATTTGTCAGAAGCATTTTCACAAAGGAAAGTTTTCTAAACATCTGGAGTTACTTCTTTCCAAAGGAAAGTAAGGAAGGTACCATCATTATTCCTTCAGGCATAATGGGTATCTGAGAGAGAGAACAACTTGCTCAAAGCCACAGGATTCTTACGAGGAGGTGGAGCTGGCACTCAGACTCTGGGAGCTCCTTTTAGAGATGAGCAAGAATCTGTCAGCCCTTTCAGTATCTGTTGCAGGGGAGAGAGATGGCAGATGAAAATGCTAGCACCAAGGTGTGAATATAAAAAATAACTGCTGTTTACTTCCTGGTTTGTCCAAGAAATTGCAATGTGACTTGGCAAAAACAAGAGCAGAGTCTCATGATTTTGGGGCCACACAGGTGTTTGTGCATGGGGGGAGGGTGTGTCATTATGTGGACATGGCAACTGGGTTTGCCTGCTTGTCAGCACACGGTACAAATTATGGAGAAACCTAACTAGAGTTAGAAATGGTTAGGGAAAATTAGATCTTCTGTGGTCTCTCTAGCAAAAACCTGTACAATTTCATTTATTTTTTCATGAATGAGGATAGATTTTTTTCAAAGGCATCCAAAAGTCCCTAAAATCTGACCTTTCTTCAACACAATTTCATGCTCTGTATATCACACTTTCCTGCCAGTGGCCGTCTTGTTCTTTAAACGAAGCTATGTGATTTGTGTCTGCCTTAACTTACTTTTGTATGATGTTTCACTCCAGGACATCCAGACCCTCCGCAGAGCCCTCAAAAAGGGAAATGCTGCCCCCTCCACCTGTGTCATCCTCATCGTCCTCTTCTTGCCAGAAGCCAGCCAAGACTGCACACAAGAGGTCAAGGAGGGAAGCAGACATCTGTAATCAGGACCCTTCCAAAAGTGCCAGTAGTAGTAACAAGAGCGACCATAAAGACCCTTCCGTTTCCAAGCACAGAAAAGTGCAGGGGAGGGGCTCTGGAAGCTCCACCGAACATAAAGTAAGTAGCGAAGCCATAGAGGTCAGTGGAATGTGTTGGCATTTCCCTTCTTAAGCAAGGCGGATGCATCACTGCAGCACTGCAGGCTGCTTGTCTGTTTCAGTGTGGTGGTGTTGTCTTCTTTAAAGGTGTACTTCTCGAGTAACAGTCAATATTACACAGAAATTTAGGGGTTAATGTATTTCAGAGCTGAAAAAAAATCAGAAAAAGTTTTATTGTGCTGGGTGGGGGTACATTATGGTATTTTTAAAAGTTCTTGCAATTTATCATAGTTGAATTCACCCCCTCCACCATTCTCCTTTATCCCCTCTCCCCCGAGAAAAAATTTAATTTTCCATGAGATGTTTAGTGGTAAGAAAGTTACCTCAAATACTTTCATTTATTGGTTAAAATGGGGAGGCAAAACACTTCTTTCTCGAATAAATCTGATATTCGATCTTCCAGTTAATCTGGGGATTGTGTGTGTTGACTAAGAAAATGTCATACATGACTCTCTCAGACATTCTAGTCTTCATGTGGTTTTTGAGTCCTTGGTATCACCAGAAGTTATAGCTTCACTTCATCAGTAGCTGGAAAGGTGTTTGACCAAGCTAGATTGTGCAGTGCTTGATTTGCTCTTTTTATAGCTGGTATTTTGGCCTTTTAAGAGGGATGTTGATAGATGCTAAGAGGGATATTGCCAGATATGATGACACACACATGTAATCTCAAGCACTGGGGAGGCTGAGGCAGGAGGATTGAGAGTTCAAAGCCAGTTTGAGCTACATAGTTAGACCTCATCTCAAAAAGTTAAAAAAAAAAAAAGTAGGTATATTTCTTTTTGGATCAGAATCTTAAGGGTTAGAGTGTAATATACATATATGGTTTTTTAAAGGGATTTTCTGGAGATACTGCAAATCCTTTTCCAGTGCCTTCTTTGCCAAATGGTAACTCTAAGCCAGGGAAGCCTCAAGTGAAGTGTGACAAGTAAGAACTCAAATGCTTTCTCTTTATCTCCACCACCCCCCCCCACTACTTTTCCCTCTGCCCCTTCATTTCCTCTTTTCTCCTTCTTTTCTTTTCTTCTACCTCTCCTCTCATCCTTAGTCTTCTCAGCTTACTTTGCATAGTCTGGTAATTCTGGGTTCATATGATGCATCCCTGCTTTTTTTCTATTTCAGACTACAAGCTGATTTTCACATGAAGGAGGCCAGAAAGTTGAAGTGCAGAGCAGAGTCAATGGTTAGTCTTAGCCTTTTATTGCCTTGGTAGAATGTTTTGTAATTTTTTAAGTGTTGTCTCCATGCTACTGTATTCCATGTCATTAAGCATGTGTGTGTCTGGGGGATCTTGGGATGGGGGCAGGAGGAGAGAGGAGTGTGCGGGTCCACCATTGGCCACAGCATGAACAGGATGATCACATCCTAATGGCTACCAGGTAAAGAGTTTCAGTGGAATTGTTTTCTTTTGCTCCATTGATCCAGTGTGATCATAGGAAATGTGACTAAGCACTTTGTAAATTTGTCTAAGTGACAGCAGATTGACCTACCTGATGGTGATTTCATAGAGGACTGCTTTTTTGTGCCAGTGAGTCAGTTCTTTGGATGTGAAAAATAAGGCCTGCTTTTGAGTCAGTCAGTGCTTACCTAAGACATTTTACCAGGCAGAAAGCCTGTTTGCTTTCCAAGATTATCTCAAGGAATAATTGACGAAAGCCAAAAGATTTAAGACATAGGTACTGATTGTGTTGTTGGTAAACAGGCTCAAAGACTTTAACTCTCTTTACTTGCTGACCTTTGAACTTCTGGAAGGTGGTGGTTTATTGTTAATTGTATACATACTTAAGTATGTTTTTGCATCTCTGTTGTAGTTGAGTAAGATCTTTGTCATTTAAACATCTAACACCCTGGGGTTTTATTTGCTGAGTGTGTTCCCAAACTTAAGCCCCTTCAAATGCACTCCCTCCCTGGAAGCCTTGAGTTACATTCTGGGCCTCAGGACTCAAGCCCATGTGAACCTAGCTGCACTTGGGCCCATGGGAACTGAGTCTGGGTTGCCCATGGTGTCGGTGGAGACATTTGTCTGGTGTCCTTTCACCCTGGGCTACAGATGTGCTTTTGTTCCCAGACTGTAGGGAGGGCACACTGAGTTCCCATAAGCAGGCAAAGTGATTCTTGATCCCTTCCAGTGCCAGGTGCTCTGAGGGAGTCTAGAACATGCCCTTCTGGCCCCATTCCTAACGTACCATACGAGGACAACCAGAACCAGATCCTGGGGGTGCTGAGCAGTGGTTTTCTCTCAGCTGTCTCCCTGCTTTCCAAGAGTGTTACTGGAATCATGTGAATCTATTCTTTTGGGAAAGAATAAATATTTAGCACAATAGCCAGTTATCTAAAAACTTATCTTGAATCGGACATGTTTTGCACCAGGTTCCCTCACTGTTCAAGCAATTCAGGTATCCACTCCAGGGACCTTTGTTTTTAATCTATACATAGGCATGTCTTCTTTCTGTCTTCATAAGGTGACTGGATGTCCCAGTGTGCCAGGATAGTACTGGTTTATGCCAGTTACATTCTGTTGTAGTAATTATACCCCATGTTGCTCTTAATCGGCCAGTGTGGATAATAACCTGTGTGGTCACCCTCTTCACAGTCTTTCTCAAAGATGTGCATTTGGCATTGCAGACAGTTGATTGTGCTCCTGAGCACAGGAGAGTTTGTTTTATGTTGACATCATATTCATTATTGAGTAGGGAAATTAGAGCTCTGCTGCTTACACAGTTGAGATTTTAAGAATTATCACAGGAATATCATCAGTCCTGAGGAGTACTTAAAGCAGTGGATATTGACTAATTGCTAAATAAATACTGCAGCTTCTTCTGCCTTAAGGCCAATAAGAATTTTGGAAATCACATGAGGGCAGTTTGGGATAAGCACATTTTAAGAATTAGGTTACCATCAGTGAGGCGAACCAGCTATGTCCTATGCTGCTAATTAATTAAGGCATACTAATTTGCTTTTTATTCTTTTGTTTTAGAATAATAAGATTGAGTATTCTGAAATTTATGTGTACATACATAAATACACGTGTGTACATGCATGTGCAGGTAGTGACCCAGCTTACTCCACTGCTGCTTCAACATGATAGTGGTGTACCCTGAGTAATGTCACCGCAGCTGCCTGAGGGCAGGTGCTGTTGGTGCTTCTGTGGTGGAGGGCAGCCACAGCCTGTATAAATGTCAGCCCTGTGCACTCTTTGCCTTCTATTCTACTTAGAAATTTTCTATTTTCATTCTTTTTGAATGTATCAAGCATTGGCGAAAACTACAACCTGGCGATGTTCACCAGCTGCTCTCAAGTGTGTAGTGAAAGCCTGTCTCTTTAGTCAAACTGGCTATGTGCCACTCAGTGAGAAAAGGATTAAGTGGCCAAATGTGTACTCAGGTTCAGGGTGAAAACCCGTATCTTATTTCATTATGTCTACAGTTCCTTTATGGAACTTTGAGATTTTGCCCCTCTTGGCCCAAGGGCTGGCTTCATACTTTAAGCCTAGGTATCTCTAGAGATTAATCCATCAGGCTCATTTAAAAAGATGGCTGTTAGATTAACACGTCTGAGATGCTCATACATGACAGTGTTTTCTGCTTATAATAAGATAAACCAGCAGAAAAACTTGTCTGGTTTATTCTAGATGTGTTAGATAATCTGTTTCTCAAGAAAGTTACACAATGAGTGATCACACACAAATAACAGTGTACTTAGAGCCTTAGTTGGGATGTGTACTTCCTTGAGGTTTAGAGAGAGTAGCCTTAATAGAGAATTATTTTCTTTTCCCTAATGAATTTTTGCTAAAAGGGTAGGGTTGACTGGCTTTGGTTATTAATCACTTTTAGTTGGTTCATGCTCACACTTCTCTCTAACTATAAGTAAACTAAGACAGTGCAGGAAAGTTGCACTGAATGTGGGTGAGAATCTAAATAAAAGCCCACCACCTCAGGCCTAATGGTGACTGTGTTCTCTTCCTGCAGACAGACAAGGCTGGAAAGGCCTTTAAGTACTTGGAATCCATCCTGTCCTTTATTGAGTGTGGAATTGCCATGGAGTCGGAATCTCCCACGTCAAAGTCGGCTTACTCTGTGTACTCAGACACCTTAGATCTCATCAAGTGAGTGCTTCTCTCGCCTCGCCTTTACTGCTTTAGTCCATTTGAACTAATAGTGTGAAGGCAGCTCAGTAAAGGGGAGTCTTAAAAAGTAACTGGGGTTACAATGCAGCTCAGGGGTAGAACACTGGGTTCAATCCCCAGCACCACAAGTACTATATATTTATATATAAGTATATAAAATCCTAAAGTGAAATTGTGTCCGTAGAAGTGCTAATACAGAATAACTGAGTACAACTCCATCATTGTGCCAAGTGGGCTGAGAAGCCAAGCCTTCCCAGGAGAGATTCGTTTTTCCAGTTTAGCTTTCTTATCAGACACCTACTCGCTCAGGTGTGCATTTTACCCACATTTAGCAGGGGACACAGTGAGTACATGATGACACCACTTTTAAGAGGTGAACCAGTCACAGGGCCTAGTTTTCTTATTTTTTTACAGTATTGGGGTTTTGAACTCAGGGCCTCATGCTTGCTAGGCAGTGCTCTGCCACTTGAGCCACTCCGTCAGCCAGGGCCTGGTGTTCTAGTGGCTTTGGTGTTCTAAAGCCTCCCTGTTTTCTGTGTTGCAATCATGTCTTCATATGTTCAGGAAAAATGAGTGCAGTGAGCTGAGCATAGGAAGATCTGTTTGAGCCTAGGATTTCCTAACAGATTTGGAAACAAACATAACAGATTTAACCTGTCATGTCTCCTTGTAGATTCACGATGTCATTAAAATCCTTCTCAGATGCCACAACGTCAACACAAGAGAAAATATTTGCTGTTTTATGGTGTGTACTTCTTTTTTTTTTTTTTTTAATGTTAAAAAAGATTTTGGAATTTGCTTTCTTAATATGAAAATTACTGTGAGAGACAAGTCACTTCCTTGATAGAGGGGTTAAACCCACTTATGATGGCTGTGAAATGCCATCTGCTGCTCTTCTACTGATGGCTCAGCAAATGCCCTGGTCTTGTGGTATAAATTATGTCCTTGTACATTTTCTGCCAGCATTTGCTTTTGTCGACAGTCCGAGGAGTACAGTCCAATGCACTTCTTCTCACAGGTGAAGGAGACCCAGGGTGGTCCTCGGGGTAACTGGCTGTCTTCTGTGGTGGCGGCGTCTGTCCACGATGTCGAACTCATCACTTTAACTTCTGTTTCTGCTCACAGCATGCGTTGTCAGTCTGCGTTGAACATGGCGATGTTTCGCTGTAAGAAAGACATAGCAATAAAGTATTCTCGTACTCTCAATGAACACTTCAAGAGTTCTTCCAAAGTGGCCCAGGCACCTTCGCCATGCATTGCAAGGTAATTCTAAGTCTAGTTTCCATTGCCTACAAAATTAGTTCGTTTCTTTACTTCTTGCTTTTGTAACTATCTGTGCATATTTCACTTTAGCTTTTCAAAAATTGTATGGTTCATCTTTATGCTCATTTTTTCTTTAAATCATTAGCATATTTCTGCCTTTTTGAGAAATGGGTATGAACCAAGATTTAGGGTGATTGGATGACATGAAATTTAATTTAAAAATTAATGAGAATGATAAAAGAACAATAATAATGATACACTATAATAAAAGTTATGTAGATGTAGTCTTTGTTTTATTTTGTCTTTTGAGATAGGATTTCTCTATTAGCCCACTATAGTCTAGAATTCACTATAGTCCATGCAGGCTTTGAACTCACAATTCTTTTCTCTTAGCCTCCTGAGAGCTAGGATTATAGATATGTATAACCACACCTAGTGTGGTCTCTCTTTTGAGTCAAGACAGATATTAATTTTAGTTCATGGCTGACTGCAGGTCAGCTACAAATAAAACTGCTACAAATAAAATTGTGGCTAAGAGGGGATAATTATAATAGTAAAAAGTACAGAGCTGAAATTTTAGAGCTTTGAGAATCTTTAGATATACCTAAGACCAAAAAAGAGCTATAGGCAGAGCCAACAGAACTAAAGCAAATGTCCCTTCTTCGTTTCTCTGACATATCTCCTTTCATATCTGACACTTTGATAAACAAGAACTTCCCAGAACTGTATACCCTCCACCATTTCCAGGACCCACACCAGTGATGAAATAGATATATTTGGTAAAATTATTTCTCTCATTTTGTGAACTGAAATTGTTCACCTACACTGTAAGGGAGGTTGGCAAACAGAATCCTCATGCTGTTTGTAAGATGAAGATGGAAGGTTAGCATGTTCTTTCCCTTAGTCCTAGTTGGGGTTTTGTTGTTGTTTGTTTTTAAGGCAGGGTCTTGCCATGTCGCCCAGGCTGGCCTCAAACTCCTGATCCTCCTGCCTCAGCCTTCCAAGAGCAAGGATTGCAAGGGTCCTCCACGCCTACCTTAGATTTTTGTTGTTGTTTTTAAATTTGGTCATATTCCTTGGGAAGTATCTAGTTCTGATGGGTTTTGCTGTTTGAAGAGTATCACTTACAAGACTGTCCCCATTTTCAGCAATCCAAAAGAAGAGACTGCCTTATGGCCTCTTTAAAAATCTACTGATTGAGAAGTCCTTTTTAAATCCTGATAATTTCACAACCCTCCACTTCTGAGACATTCTAAGCCCATATGCTGCCCATCTCATTGTTTTAGATAACTCCTTAGCCACTTGCCCAACCAGAGCACCTTCTTCATATCAATTCTTACAGCTCCTGGGAATCCAGCAAGAGCCAAAGCAGGCAGGAGTCATTGTCCTCAGGAAGTTTTCTTTGCAGTCCTAGAAAACATGTGCTTTGCTGGGCATTCTTGAGGATCCCTGCAGCCCCCAGGGCAGAGGCTGCCGCCGCCCCATCTTTCCATCTTATATTCAGCAGTAGAATGCTTGCCACATGTGTAAGGCCCTAGTTTCAATTCCCAGTCACAGTCTTACTAGCACAAGTAGGAAGCGGGAGTAGGAAGAGGGAGGGATTCCTGGCAGAGGAACTAGCCTATGTAAGGGCATGGGAAAGCATATTTAGAATACAGATTAGTCCACTGGGGTGTCTCTTTGACTTTGTAGGAGTGACGCTCGCAGTGATTATCATTTTGGTGGCTGCTGAAACTCTGTGGCTTAGTCCACAGTTCCAGACAGGAAGTCTGATCTTGGAGTCTAAGTGATTAACTCATTCTCTTCCTTCTTTCCAACCCTGCAGAAGCACAGGCACACCATCCCCTCTTTCCCCAATGCCTTCTCCTGCCGGCTCCATAGGGTCTCAGTCAAGTGCTGGCAGTATGGGGAGCAGCGGGGTGACTGCCACCATCAGTACCCCGGTCACCATCCAGAACATGACTTCCTCCTATGTCACCATCACGTCCCATGTCCTTACCGCCTTTGATCTTTGGGAACAGGCAGAGGTCCTCACAAGGAAAAATAAAGGTAAAGGCTATAGCAGTGATTAGTGGGGCATGGAGACTGATGGGGCATGTTGGTGTTGATTTGTTTCCTATTCAGTTTCTTGAGGCGGAAGAAATGTGTAGCTGTATTCTTTTGTTGTCTTCTCCATTCTGCCTCATAACCTAGTTGCAGTTCTTTGAATTCTGTGGCATGGAGCTGAATTCCTCTGGTTAGATCTTAGCAAAACCAAAATAGAAATAGCTTTAGCACCTTGGCTCTTCACAAGTTCTGGTGTTGTCATTTCAGCCTGAAATGAAATGCTGGCAGAAGGACAAAACAAACAAAGAAGGCAAGTCAGGTTCTTCCTAGGTTCAGCACATTTGAGATAGAATCCCAATGCTAAGTTCGCTCGTTTCGGTGTATATTAAGAAAGATTGTTAAAGCTGCAATATACCAAATCCAGCCTAGTAAACATTCTTGAGACTTGTTTAGGGAGGAAGGCAATGGAGAAATCCAGGGTTTTGGAGAAGATGCAGTCAGGGACACTGGTTGGAGCTGGTGCCAGCTCCCACTGGTGAACACTTACACATGAGAGTGACAGGTGAAGGCCATTCTGGTTTTTTTTCCTGGTTGTAGGGAAGAGGGTGGCCAGGTGGCTGTAGCCTCTAAATTTCCCTATAGCCTCTAAGCTCTTATCTGTTAGCAAACTATGCGTATTTAACCTGGTTCTTTTTTTTTTTTAAACCATTGATGCATCAATGGATACAAATGTATAAATTGGGTATTTTAAAAGTGCCAGTCACTGTGGCAGTCAGGTGTTAAAGATTCAATTCTAAAGCAAATCTAACTCCTGCCCTTCTAGTTTACTGGAGGGATGTGAAGGATTAGCAACTACGTTGGATTGTGAGTTTCTGCTGTGATAGATGACCTGTACACTATTGTGGGAATAGCGCTTGTAGAACCTTAACTCTTTCTGTGTTTTCATTTCTTTACATGTGCATGTGTATTTACTTCATTTTCTTTGTTTTGTTTTTGCAGACTTCTTTGCTCAACTCAGCACAAAAGTCTGCACCTTGGCCCTGAACAGCAGTTTGGTGGACCTGGTGCACTATACAAGGCAGGGCTTGCAGCGACTCAGACAAGTAGCCAAAACACCTTAGTGCACGCTCAAGTTGACTCAACACCTTGAGAACTGTTTTTGCACATTGGAAGCCTCAAAAACAGTCTAGACATTTGCCTCATCAGGACACCAAACTCAAGACTGTGAGATGGCCAGATGTTTGTCCACTTCAACTCTGAAGAACTGTGTGGTATTGGTTGGACATTATGACTGTGCAGAAGCAGAGATGGAGGTCGGCCCCAGAGATGATCTTGCCTTTCTAAATAAAGGATGGAAGTGCAATGTAGCCTGATGGGCATATGAGTGGTCTAGAAACATTTCTGGTTTTTTGTCTTTTTCTTTTTTTTTTCATTTTAGTTTTTTGTTGTTGTTTTAAACCAGGAGGATATAAGTTGGAAATCAAATGAGAAGCAGTTTCAGCTCTGAAAGCAAATTCACGTCACCTCACTAGTCACACTAGTCCATTCCCAGAATGAATTTTTTTAAAACAGTGATTTGTGGTGAAGGGTTTTGTGAATGATTTTTTTTTTTTAAGGGTTCTATTATTTAATGATACTAATGGCCATCAGTAAAACATAAGTTTTGAAGGATCCCACTGAATCCTACTTTCTGCCAGTGAACAGTGGCTTTGACGTACTCAGTGTAGTCTTCATCTGTAAGGTCAGAGGCGACCCCTGCCCTACCTAGAGCACTGCACATTTACCCAGCTCCGGCTTCTCTGACTGTGCTGACAGACGGCCTGCGCAGCGCACTGGACGAACAGCTGACTTCAGGAGCATCTCATGTCTCCACGCTCCTTGCTCCTGTGAGAGGGACTAGCTAACAAGGCACTCACCCAGACTGTTCTGAATTTCCTACATACACCGGGAAGAAGGGAACCAACATTTACCTGACCAGATGGCTAAAGTGCTTTTTAAGTTTGGTGTAAGTAGAGCTGGAACTCGAGGTGGTCAATTGGTGTGCACAGCTGTGTGGTGACTCCTGTGTCTCACCAACTCAGAGTTTTGGTAGTGAACAAAGAAAAATGAAAAAAATCTACTTCTTAGAGAGGCTATATTTTTCTGCTACGAATTATTTTATATTTATAGCAAACTAAATTTCGCAAGCCCTTGATCGTCTAGAAGTTAACTCCCTGAGAGGATGTGGAGACTTGGGGGATGAGACTTAAAAAAAAAAAATCACCACCACATGCCTTCATTCCAGATTGTTCTCTGTCAGGTAGATTTGATTAGGTTGAAGAGGAACTGTGGCCTTCTCATAAGCTGTTGCTGTACTGTCTGCACTAAACCAAGTTCATTTTGAGTGACCCAAAATGAAAGCGCACAGTCAGAATGTTCATATACTCACAAGCACAGATTCTCTTTCTCAATGAAAATTTGAAGGCTATTATTGGAAATATTCTTTCAAGTACAGCGATTTTAAAAGCCATTTCTTTTTATCCCCTTTAGAATTTGCACATGTATTAAAATGAGGAGTGAGCGTTCTGATTGGTTCATTTTTTTCCCTTTTACCCCCATCTGTGCCTGTACTTGTTTCCTACCAGACATGTTTCACATTTTTGTATTTATTAGTGAAGAAAGGAGAAGCCTCTTTATAATGAAGACACCTAAGGTCCTTATGATGAATGTGAGAACAACTTGGGATTTTGGTGGCTGTATGAAGGGATGTGTAGAGGATGGGAGTGATGCTTGTTTTCTAGTGTGAATTGGGTGGTGGTGTCCCTTCTCTTCTCCAACCTGTTCTTCTGTCACTAGCTGGGTTAAAGCCAGCTATAACAACAGTGGTGTTCTATCTAGCATAAGACCTGATGTGATCTCTGGTGGAGCAATTTGTTGATGGTCTGCAGCAAAGCCATGGTCTTTTTCAACCACCGTTGTTAAATGAGCAATAATTACTTGGTAGTTGTGTGCTGTGGTGGTGTGAGCATCTCTGGTTGTGATTAATTTACACCTTTTCCCTTACTCCCCATTTGCCTCATCACTCCCTGAAACAAGCTGCCTGTCAGTTGTGAAGGGCTCTGCTCTTTGTGCTGGGTTCTGCTCTGTCTGTACTGAGCCAGAGCATGGTGTGTCTGCCAGGCAGCTACAGTGCTCCTTCCCTGAAGAGCTGTCTGTGCAGATTCCCTGCCAATCGGAAAAGAACACATGGCTTATTCAGTGGCCATAGTCTTTGTGGTTTTGTTTTTTTCTTACTGAACTCTCTTCTAAAATTCTATCTGTCCCCTGAAAGAATAACAAATTTGGATAGATCAGTTTATACTACTTAGGTCATTGGATGTTTCAGATTCTTGCTGCAAGACTCATTGTACTCAAAAGAAAACTAGAGTATGGAAAAGATAGTGGCTGATGAATCCTTGCTGTTCATCAGTTCTTTGGATGTTACTGTTGTACATAGAAGTCTGAAGGATTTTTAAACCATCTGCACTTTTTCACTGCATGCTTATAATTCCCAAAGGCAAGATTTGCACTGAAGTAGATAATTTGAGAAGTTAGATTATAAAATTAAGCCTTTGAATATGTGAAGTTCTGTAATAGTAATAGTACACACGTCACAGAGAGATTAAAAAAAATCTTCAGGAGTGAAAATAATATAAATCTTGCCTTGGCCACTACAAAGGGAGAGAGAGAGACGTGTGTGTGTGTGTGTGTGTGTTACCTTCGATAGGAAATAGAACAACAATTTTAAAAGTGTTGATTTTGCCCTTGGAGATAATCAAAATGTGAATCAATGGATTTAAAAGTCCTGCTAAATAATGCAAAACACTTCACTGAAACTTACCAAATCACATTTGGTAAGGGATGGGAGGGTCCAGCAAGCAGTTATCAGGAATAAATTACAACAGGAGAGTAATGTGACTGATTATGATTTGATCCCAAGAAGAGCATCTTTTTTTTTTTATTTTTAGCAAAATGACCTTTATTTTGTACATCTGTTTGGGCAAAAATGTATAGCTATTTCTCTAAATGAGGTCGACCACATTTACCTCCCTTGTTCTAGATCCTCTTAATTATAGATCTCAGGATGTGTAGAAAATAATTTTCCCTCTTTTTGTCTGAAAATTTGCCTTAATTGGCACCTTACATGTTAATGTTAGTGACAGCAGTAGCTTAATCTTATTGTAATTCCTGTTTGATTACTTTTTAAAGCAAAAATAAAACCACTGTTCCCTTCAAAACTTATCTAGGACATACAGAGGATGTATCTATAGGAATGCATACAATAAGAGCTGATTCAATTGGATACATTTGTGCCTTTGTTGACCAAACCTAATTTTGAAATAACTCTGGGTCACCACAGCTTCCAGGGATGTTACATGCATCTTCTTTTACTCTTACGTTTTATGAAGTTGGAAGAATATATGTACATCCTAGGGTAAATTAGTTGGACTTTAAAAAAAAAAGTACTTTAAAATTTTTCCATGCCTCCTACTAGATTTCCTTCTATTTTTTTCCTTAATGACTTGTTTTCCCCAACACTACAAAATATCTTTGAAAACTTACAACTTCAACTGTTACATGCTTTATCACTGACAAGCAGTATTTAAATCTTGCAAGAATATTTTGGGCGCTTTTAGAAACACAAAAGTGTAGCTTTTCTCCCTGAGAAATTGAGAGTTACATGTTACAGCTGTGGAGATTGGACAGGATGAGTTATGGCGGTACTTGTCTCCCCTCTCCCTCCAGTGTGTTGCCTCTTTTGTTTGCTTTTGGTCCCATTTGGGATAATGGATATAAGCAAGGTATTTTTCTGTGCCTGTTTTGGTGGGAAGGATAACAGCAGATCTGGTGTTGGGAATTTCCCTCCAAACATTGTTAGTGCTGTCGTCTATCTCCACCATGTAATCCTAAATAAGCAGTCCAGTCGTGTTGGTTTCTTGGTGCCTGAGAATGCTAATCTCCTATGGCTGGTAGCTCTTATTTATGATGCAATGACAAGCCCCGTCCACCACTTTTCTTTCTGTGGCTGTAAATTTATTGTCCTGGGGAAAATCAGCTATATTCTGTTCCCAGTGTGCATCAGACATCATCAGGTACTGTGGAGGGTAAAAAACACCCAGACTTTTCTACCTAATGAGGACCCTCAGAGGGCAGGAAGGAACCCACAGCAACTTGTGAGTCTGTATATCAAGAGATAGGCCTGGGAGGACAAAGCAGTAGGACCGCCAACAGCAAGGCTGGCTGAGCCATACTGTCAGACCAGGCAGTGGCCACTGAGGAAAATAAAGCTTGCTTTGCTTAAAAGTATATGTTAAAGCAATGCTCAATATAGGCAGTATTAAGTTTGCCTTTTGTTCAGGCCGTGACATGTATTGTTAAGATTTTACTGCACATTCTTCCCTCAGATATCAAGTATACACTGTTCGTGTTGGGGTGGGTGCGTGTCCCAAACCTTCTTGTAATTTTTTTTTTTTTTTTCTGAATGTGATTATGTTTTGGATGATACCTGAGCAGGGTTGCCTTTTTTTTTTTTTAATTTATTGCCATTATATATTATATTATATATTTTTCGCTTTCTTACAATGTTAGAGGAAAGTCAAACCTTGGTATTATTAAAATTGTTATAAAAAGTAGTAAGTTGTCCAGTTGATAAATGAATGTCACTGGTCTTTCTTTAAAATAATGAGTTTTTCTTTGATTACTGTGGAATGGTGTGCCAGCCATTGTCAATACAGTGATCTTATGCATAGGACAGGGAAGCAGTGACACTGTCAGTGGGAAGATGTGCAACACAGCTAAGGGGACTCCATGTATTGTATCTACTTCAGCAATGGAACTGCAACTTGGAGCTTTTGTGAATAAAATTTAGCTGCCTGTATAGTCCTTTGAATGAGACAGACATCTGTGAGAGAATTATAGTTAGCTTTTTTAGGAGAAAAATTTGCAAAAGATCTTCCCAAAGATAACGTGCCACAGATCTTTTGGTTCTCTGTAATGAAGATTTAAGTGCTGTTTTTAAAAAATGTAATTGACTTGTTCTTCAAATTCTTTCCTTTTCACAAGAGGATCGAGTGTAAAAAAAAAATTTAATAAAAATTTAGAGAAATCATTGGGGTTGAGTCCATGCTTTTAGTGCTTTGAATAATGTAACCCTTAGGATTGCTATATGAAGCTGGATTTGCTGGCACATCCCAGTAATCTCAACATTCCAAAGGCTGAGGCAGGAGGATCTTGAGTTCCAAACCAGCCTGGGCTGTACATGGTGAGACCTTGCCTCAAAAACAAAACAAAGAAAAACCCCTATCTGAAATTGCCAAGGGGAGTTTCATGTGCTGTCCTTCACAGTATGTATTTATTGCTGAAGCAGAGGAAGAAATGTGGCCAGAAGGTACTTGTCCTGCTTGGTTTATTTTCAAGATCATAAGCACACACAAGTTAGCCTATGTCACCAGCAGGGCCTACCCTAACTTCAACTGCCAGGTGTATCAGTGACCACGTTTGCCTATTTTCAACATCTCTGGGGGATGGATGGTTTTGTAGAATGTTGGTATTGGAAGTAATTTAAAGGCCAACTGGTCTTTTCTCCTTTTGCCATCCCTAAGGAAATACCTCAGCAATTTTATGAAATCAGAAAAGACCCAGGGTCTGAAATCTTCCTGGCTTTGAATTTTGGCTACCTGGTTTGCTAGTTATATGGCTTTACACAGGTTATGTAACCTGTCTGGATTTGTCTTTTCATTTACAAGCTGTGTTGATTACCTACCCTTCGATCGCAAGGATCACAATTCCTGGTTTGTAGAGTTGCTTTGCACAGTGCCTGGCATAACACACTGAAACTGCTGGTGCTGGGTATTTTAATTTATTCCCTTCCCTCACTGTGCCACAACATCCCAATCTGCTCAAAACACTACTGAAGAACTTATTTCTGGTCCAGTGGGGTGGCCCATGCCTGTAATCCTAGCTACTTACAAGGTAGAGATCAGGAGCAGCTCAGTTCAAGGTCAACCTGGGCAAAAAGTCTGAGAGACACACCTCCCAACCACATCAACCAATAAAAAGTTGGGTGCAGTAGTGCGTGCCTATCATCCCAGCTGCTCAGGAAGCATGAGGGGGGGATTGTAATCCAGGCTGACCTGGCATAAAAGCAAGACCCTATTCAAAAGCAAAAGTAAAAAGGGCTAGGGGCATGGCTCAAGTTACTAGAGTGCCTGCCTAACAAGTGCAAGACCCTGAGTTCAAACCCCAACACTACCAAAAAAAACCCATACACTTCCTTCCATTTTTTCATCCTTACGTTAGGTCCTGCTCCATTCACATTGGTCCTACCCCCAGCAAGTTCGTGTGAAATTGACAAGGCATGCAGTACCAGGCATGGTAAAAGGGAGTGTGTGAGCTCCAATTAAGAAGCTACGGGGAAGAAGAAGTCTAATTTGAACCAGCCCCTATAAGATGGGCCATCAAGTCTCCTGGGTATATGACATTCTATGTCATGTCTCATGTAACTTGAAGTGTTGGCAGTTGTCCAGGTCTGGTTGTAATCGATTTCACCAACCATCTTGTTAGACACTGAGGGATAGCATAAAGAATGCTCGGACCATTCCTAAGCAAAAATATTTGGACAAATTTCAAACCACTTTCTTGAGATAAATTCCTACCAGTAGATTGCAGAGTGAAAAGATATATTTTCCCCGCACTTTATTTTGAAAAACTTCAAACATGTCGAAAAGCAGAATAGTATAATATCTACCACCTAGATTCAGCAGTTAACATCTTACTATACTTTTAATGAAAATAATCATTTAGATACCTTAAAAGCAACTGAGGCCAATAGGAGAAGGGGACCAGGAACTAGAGAAAAGGTTAGATCAAAAAGAACCTAGAAGGTAACCACATGCACAGGAAATCAATGTGAGTCAATGCCCTGTATAGCTATCCTCATCTCAACCAGCAAAAACCCTGTTCCTTCCTATTATTGCTTATACTCTCTCTACAACAAAATTAGAGATAAGGGCAAAATAGTTTCTGCTGGGTATTGAGGGGGTGGGGGGGAGAGGGAGGGGGCGGAGTGGGTGGTAAGGGAGGGGGTGGGGGCAGGAGGGAGAAATGACCCAAGCCTTGTATGCACATATGAATAATAAAACAATAAATAATCATTTATGCTGAATAGGAAAGTTGCATACATATTTTTCTGGACACTGTGTAAGCACTGTATCATGACAGCATCTAAGAAAATTCCTCCTTGCTGAGTGTCCATATTCAAACTTTTGCAATTGCTCCCGTCTTGTAGCTTAATTTTTTGAACTTGGCTCCAGCCAATTTTCATACATTTGGTCATTATTTTTAGTCTATTAATAGAGAACAGTCTTCCTCTCCCCCTGTGTAATGTTCCCTCATCCTGGATTTAATTGTCCATTAACTCATTCCTTTATCTCCTATGAACTGAAGTTCGGTCTAGAAGCTCGTTTATCATTGGCAAGAATCCTTCACAGGTGATGCTGTGCCTTATTATATCCTACCCAGAGGTACCTGATGTGATTCTTTTAGTGATGCTATCTTGAGTCTTTTCTGTTTACACAACCCCTCACTGGGTGATTTTAGCAGGCATTTGATGATCCTTGCTTGAAGTACTTCATTGGGAGATGAGAAATGAGAGCAAGTGTATTGCACATCTCTAATGTCCTAGTCCCAGAGGAAATTTGTATCATTTCTTCAAAAGACTTATTTCCTTACTCCTTCACCATTCCTAGGTACTGACTGGAAAATGGGAAAAAGTAACTGACCGAATTTGACAGGTGGGCGATGGTCTCTGATGTGTGCATTTTTTTAGTCTGTGGCACTGTCTTCCCCTTGTGTGCTGTCATTTCACAGCACATGGGTTATGTGACTGCCATTCTAGATGCAGTTCAGAAGCCTGTCTGGGTAGATGTGGGAAATCATGTGAAATGAGTTCACCACAGGAAAAGCTCTGTTAATGGAGGAAGGGGATGCTGAGCAGTGAAAAGGAACAGATAATCTACAGACATTAAAAGGAACATTTTCCTTTTGATTTATATATTCAGGATATTAATCTTTTTTATTAGATTGTGTAATTTCCTCCAAGTTATCTTCTCAATTTTTATATTTTGACAGTTTTAAAATTTTAAGTAGGCACATGTCTATCAATGTCCTCATGGTTTTTGCTTTCAGTATTGTAATGAGATAAGCAAAGGCTGCTTCCCACCGTGCAGGGCACTTCTACCGCCACTGAACACTGGCAACTCTAAATGGCAGCCACGATCCTTTGAGTCCTTATCAGTTTTTTTTACTGGCAAGTGTTTAGGCACCTTGGGAGCTTGTGTCACCTGACTAGCCAGCACTGGTGGGAGTGTAAATTGTCACAATCCAAGCTACTTTAACAATCCTCACATCCATTGCAAACAACTTAGAAGCACAGTGGACCTTAATCAAGAGGTTTGTCTGCTGCTTCGTTGGCTGTGATTGGGTGATTGGACCGTCTGGTCTTAGGAACAGGACTCTTTCAGCACTTGTGGTTCCCCAGTGGCCCACACACAGCTCAAAGTAAGACTGTAGTGAGACACCAAGCCTCTGATAATGGAGGCTTTTGCCCTCCTAACAGACTGGAGGATAGGCCTTGAAATACTTTCCAAACAGACAGTTCTATTTTCGCTTTAAAAGACCGTGTGCCTGCTCTAGATAAGTGCTTTAAATCACCCTTTTCTGTTAGTGGGCCCAGTCCTAATATCTCCTTTACTTCATTTCCATGTGTAGTTGGAAGAAACAATTATGGGTTTATATAGCTCTCCTATTAAATATGCCTGTAAATTATCCTCTAAGCAACACCCATTGTAAGCAATACACATCAAAAACAAAAAGCAAAACCAGGTGCACGTTTTTCTACACATGCTCAGTGGATTTGGCAAACCAAATGCACTCTACTGAACAGACTGTGGAAAAGAGCCTTTAGTTTCCCTACCCCTCTGTCTTCGAACTGTAATCCTTGAAAGAGCTTCTTGTACAAATCTGATTGGTATCCAGTGTTGCAATTGAGGTCTTCACAACAATCATAGGGAGGTGATGTGGTAGTGATTCTGCAGGAGTTTCCACAAAAATGCTGTGCTGAATAATCTGATGCACACAGATGTGTGCATTCTTACAAGTATTCTATAGGATAAATTCCTGGAAGGGATCTAGATCAAAATTTAGGCCAAATTTTCAACTTATTTCTGTTGTTGAGACAGGGTCTCACTGTGTATCCCAAGCTGGCCTTGAACTCACTTTGTAGTCCAGACTGGTACTGGAACTCAAGATCATTCTGCCTCAGTGTCAAGTGCCAGGATTCTAGGCATGTCACCACCTTTGCTACCAACTGTGGATGAACTTACTTGCCAGCACTGGGCACAATCTAAAAAGCAATCTTACACTTCAACCAGAATCTCTCTACTGACAAACTGACCATCTTGCCACAAATTTATTGTCCACTTCTTTGATGCTGGAAGTCGAACCCAGGGCCTCTTACATACTAGGCAAGCACTCTATCACTGAGCTAGTCTAGCCTCTGACCATTTATTTCTGAGTCTGTGAGATGCCTGTTCCTGTACTTAGCTCATTTTCTGAGATTAACTTTTTCCTACAATTTCTAGCTTAAGCAGCTTAGAGGAGGCTCCTGATTGCCTGCAACCCACTGTGTGATTCCTCCTGAGCTTGCTCCATTGTCTGTACCTCAGTAGACAGCACCTGTGAGCTGCTTACAACACTTCACCCATCCTACAAGAAGCAGTGATCAACCCTAGTGAGACTTTCATGCATGTCACTGGTCCACTGTCTTTATTTGAAGCTCCTTTACTCTTTTGGTATTTAAAATAGAAAAAAAAACTTGTATTAGCATGTAATAGTTGTACAAAGGGGATACGCTGTGCTATTTACATATGTGCTTAACAGTGTATTTTAATTAGAATCACCCCCTCCATCATTCTCCTTCATTCTCTCCCCTCCCCCAAAGCTCCATTAGTCTTTAAAATGTACTACTTGTCAAGCAAATGACATTTATTCTAGATAGAGTAGAAGTTTTTGTTCTTGTTTTTCCCTTGGCATACTGAAGTTTGAATTCAAGGCCTCATGCTTGCTAGGTAGGAACTCTAAAAGGAACAGCTGAACACTTGCAATTTTGAAATTCATTGGATGTATGGATGTAAATGAATTTCACCATGGTTATCTCTGACCTAGAGAGCTGAGCTGAAAATCCATTGCCAATATCAGTCCTGAGCTATACTCAACTACAGTCCTATTAACAGATACTTATTTTGATTGAAGATTAAAAGAAAAAAAAGACTGTGTTCTTATCCTTGTGAGATTTACTCACATCTATTTATTTGATAGCTGTTTTCTTTGCATAAAGTGGTGCGGTTCAGAATTTGTAGGCATAAGGCATGGTCAGAGTGCCCAGTGTAACTTCAGCGATCTGAATAGCCAGTGTTTCCATTTCCGGCCAGTCCTCTTTAATATAGATGCCACTCTTCCAAAGCTAACGCCTGTGGATCAAGTTATTTCCAGCAGGACAGCATGGTCTAAGCCAGTTTACCTCTTAGGCAAAGGACAGCACTCCTCCTGTGTCTATGAATCTGTCCTGAATTCCCCACAGCACAGCACTGACCTAGAAAGAAAAATGTGGAAAAGAAAAGGAGTGTATGTGTGCACTCTCCATACTTTATATTTTTGAAACCATCTTTCAAATTAGTTGTTTGCATGGTTTACAGATGATGAAATTTGAGCCCAAGATAAGCAATTTGTCCTCGGTCAGTGGCTAATAAAAAGTGAAGCTCAGGTTATGCTACAGATCTGTGTGACTTCAAATTATGAAGGGAGTTTTGCTTGTGAGCACTAGAGGAAATAGGTTTATCAGCTGCTTTAATGGCAGCAACAATTTTTGGATTACTCCAGAAATAATTAGTAGACTGAGGTTAGTAAAGCTGGATTGTGAGTAGACTTAAGAGAGTTTTTATACAATGGAGCTGGAAAAGAAGTCCTGAGAACCTGTAGTCACTGGGAACTCTCCTAATAACTAGCACAATGGGACACTG